TATTAAACGGGATATTTCATTTATCTTGTTGTCTTTATCTAACGACATATTCCCTGACTTTGGGCATTGGAATCTATTACTTGTTCTCAGGTAACGTGTTTTGGCTAAGCGCAAAGATAAGTTAATGATTAATGTAAGCACGTACATTCTGTATATTGACTGATCGCTTGCCTTTATTTCCTATAATGTATAAACTTATTGTATGTTATACTTTTATAATGGCCATTATCGATTATTAAAACTGATATTCAGCAAAAGAGAGGGTGTGTTTTGTATTTTCACTGAAATTGAAAGGAGGCAGTTGTTATCGGCTCCGTTTTGTTATAAATATCCACACAGTGAAGATGACGCTCATATATGCAGCACGACACCTCAACATTTCTGCTGTCTAAGTTGCTAATATTAAAATGAAAATAGGCAGTTCCTTAAATCATGTTTACATTTTATTGTTGAGAAAGTGAAACAACGAAGCCAGGGTGATGTGAATGAAGTTATAAAGTACACTGTTCCCTGTGAAGATTTACCCGTGTCCTCAGTATAGTCTGTTTACCATATCAAACTGAGAAGAAGAGACTGCAGCCTTGATCAAATTTGCGAAGTCTGAACTTACACGGAGAGAAAGCAGGACTGAACTGTGCGTGTTAGGCTACTTAATATTCAGGAAAATCCCCAATCAGAGAGGCGAACGTCTGCAGCCCCGCTTCCGTTTTCAGATGTCTCCGTTTTCCATCATCCACACTGAGACGGAGCAGCAGCGTTTCAGAATGAAAACGGCCTCTCCAGCGTTTTCGAAACGCTCCGTTTTCGGCGCTCGAGAACTCCGGCGTAGTGTGGATGGTTGGCGTAACCGTAGCAAAACTTATGCGTTTTCAAACTAAAACGCATTAGTGTAAACGGGGCCTTAGTAGTGGTAGTAGTAGAAGTTGTAGTAGTAGTAGTAGTAGTAGCAGTGGTACTGGTAGTAATAGTAGTAGTAGTATCTTTTTGTGTGCCTTTATAGGGCAGTTTATGCAGCATTTACCTCACAATAGACAAATTTACATGACAAAAACAATTTAAAACATAAAAGTTATCATGTATATACAAGCAGTTATCATGTATTGCTTAAAGTTCATTGCTAAAATAACATTATTATTATTATTAGTATTAGTAGTAGTAGTAGTATTAGTTATGAATTTATGTGAGCCTATATGGGATTTCCTTTATCAGATTTAAATTTTAGATTACAAGGGCAAACTTTTTTTTTCTTAATGACATACACAGATGAATCGTTCACTACAAAACTGACAATGATGCCATCAGAGGAGGATAATATGAAAGACAGGGCAACTAATTAGGGGAGCTGGATACAGATATAATTATGTTGCCCATTCTTAATAGAAATGTAGCCAAGCAACATTGGTCAAAAAGTTGCCCTGTGTTTTTTCACCTTAATAGTGCTCCACTTTTGGCACTCTATAATGTCTACCTGAGGGAAGCAGTTCAGATTCTGAATACTAAATCTGAGATGTATACAGAGTGGCACCGGGTCCTTAAAAAGTCTTAAATTGTCTTAATGTTTTCAATATGAAATGCATTAGAATTCAGATTTGATAGATTCTAAATATTTTGTAATAGAAACTATTAGTATTATTTTATTAATAATATTAGTAATATTTTGTAAATACTTTTTAATATTTTGGTTAATGTGTTTAGTCTGATGGACCCAATGACTGTTTATGATCAATGAAAAGCTTTTAGGTATGAAAGTGAAGGTATTAAAAAGTCTCTTAATTGAACCTAAACTCTGTAGACATCCTAGTTTCACATAAGATAATCAAGTATTTCCTAAAAATATCCAACCGCTGACCGCAAATGAATAGTACTCAGCAATTTTGATCAATAAAAACATGAAAACGTGATCAATATCAGATCTATCACATCTAAGCTGAATAAAATGTAACTGTTTTTGTGTTCTCGATGCAACAAGGTTTGAATTTGCATTTTATTTACTGATATAAGGTGTTGATTTAGCATGCATTAAGTTATTTTGCTCATTACTTGAGGGGAAATCTGATTATGTAAGGCATATAACACCCAGCTCTGCTCTGAAGCATTTAAGTTGGCTCTTTGGGACTATTAAAAACCTGTGGCTGATTGCCTTCTTTAAACCTGCTCTGCTCTATAAAGTCTGAATGAGAGCTGTTGTTGGAGTAGATTAGCTTTCAGTAAGAAACCTTTCCTTTTGATAATTCACAGGGCCATTGCAGGACAGCTCAGCCAACGTGATGTAGATCTTCTGAAGTGTGTTTGCGTGCTTGATCCTGCTGGTATTCATCACATTGCAGCACCAAATATCTCCACAAGTGTAGTATTACGAATGCATTTTGACCTTGTGGGGACATATTTTTGTTCCCCATGAGAAAAACGGTGAACAGTGAAATTGCATAGTGTTTTCTTTGTGGGTATGGTGTGTGTGTGCGCGTGTGTGTGTGTGTGTGTGTGTGTGTGTGTGTGTGTGTGTGTGTGTGTGTGCGTGTGTGTGTGCGTGTGTGTGTGTGTGTGTGTGTGTGTGTGTGTGTGTGTGTGTGTGTGTGTGTGTGTGTGTAAAATTGAGAGGAATGTTGTGATTGTGTGGAGTGATATTCACCAGCTGCTGCCATTGTGCTTCATCCAATAAAATTTATAGAGCTACACACACACACAAACAAGTTAGGAAATTAAGGTTTAAAGCAGTGTGCAGATTCTCGCTTGCAGACATTTTCACTAATTGCAATGTGCATGTGCATGTGTGTGTCTGTCTGTTGTTGTTACTGCAGAGATTTCCTAAGAACCAATTAAAGTTTCCTTTTTTTGAAAAGAATCTTCAGTGATTCATCCAAGCTAATATTTTGATCAGTGAAGTTAATCATTTATGTAGGTATGTGAATAAATAATTGCTCAGACCAACTAATAATTCAGTACAAGTTATTGTATTTGCAGATGCTTTTCTATGAATGAAAAATAACTCATAAAAAATCATAACTCATTACAGTTGCTTTATATTAGTTATATCTATATCTTAATCTTACGTGTGGTATTATGAGTTATTTGTAACGATTTTATTGGTTTAATAAACAGACCACTTGAAAATTTTCAACTTTCCTTTTTTTAAAGTCATGTGTTTGACTATAAAGTAATTTTTGTTTCATTCTGTTGACATGTTTGTTTAACTACTGATAACTTTTCTTCCACATTTAAAATAAAATAAATTGTCATTTTGGGTTTTCTGCTGAGAAACGCACCCCTGCCGTAATATGCACCCTCTTCATAAACTTTTATTAGCATTCTCAGTCTACATTTTAAAAAATATTCAAAGGCCAAAACTGATTAAAATTTAATAAAATTGTTATTTTGAGGAATAAAGCAATAACAAGATGTAAAAAAAAAACACATTATAAAACACATTAGGTTTACAAATAAATGTAAAATTAAAAAATTACTGTTGTATAGACTGATGTAATGAGCCTGTTTCTAAAATTCTAAAATTAGGCTTTTTGGTGGGTTTTAACCACACATTAAACAATTTACTTTACTTAATCTCAACAGTATCGTATTTACCGTTAATTAATTTATTAATATATATATATATATATATATATATATATATATATATATATATATATATATATATATATATATATATATATATATATATATATATATATATACTGTAAGGGAAAGGTTTCGTTCATGAAAATCACCTCAGTCACTCTCATTAGTTTGTTATAACTGTTATTATTTTTTAAACTAATATTATTTTTAATTATTATTATTATTTAAATCTTGGTTTGGGGTACATTTTACGGCAGGCAATGTTACTCTGCACAACAAGGGCATTGATTTTCATAAAATAACAAAAAGGTGCAATGTTGTTTTCAGACATGTTTTCATAATTCATTAGACAATCAAATACTAATGATTTATCTTCAGAGGAGTTCTGGGGAAATTTTCATATTTAATTTGGAAGAAATGTTATCAGACCTTTGTAGAATAAAACTGTAACATTTACAAATAAAATCTAGTAAATCTGCAGTAAATGAGCATTTTCAAGTGGTCTCTTTTTTTGCATAGCTGTAAATAATTTACTAATATAAATCATATATTAATTAGTTCTACATTTTTTTGACTTTTGACAAAAAATAGGTCACACTTTACAGTAAGGTTGCATTAGTTAATGTATTTTGTATACATTAAGATCAACTAATCTTATAACAATCGCCTTACAACAAGAAGGTTGCTGGTTTGAGCCCCGGCTGGGTCAGTTGGCATTTCTGTGTGGAGTTTGCATTTTCCTACCGTGTTCACGTGGGTTTCCCCCAGGTGCTCCGGTTTCCCCCCAGTCCAATGACATGCGCTATAAGTTAATTGAATAAGCTAAATTGGCTGTAGTGTATAGTGGAAAGACATCCACTATATAAAACATATGCTGGATAAGTTGGTGGTTCATTCCGCTGTGGCAACCCCTTATTAATAAAGGGTCCAAGTTGAATAGAAAATAAAGAAAGAAATAAAGAACACAGTTATTGGTACGTGACTTTGTTATTATAAACTTTTCAACCTTTTTAAAGTGTATGAGTTTCTACAAGTCAGTCCAGATGTCCTCAGTTCAGAGAAGAAGCTCTTCTGTTATCATGTAAATCAGTCAGAACTGTAGAGATTTTTTCAGTTTCAGTTTTAACAGCAATACATGGACATTTTGACGTTTCCTTTCCCTCAAATGACTAATGTCTTCAGTGAGTCCTGTACCAGATTCAACCCGGGAAGGGAAAAGGTTGTTATTCTGTCGCTGTCATTTCCAGCTGTAATGAATGTCTCCGTGTCAGATGTGCCACTGTCTGTGTGTCTTTGTGCATGGAGTGATGTACGAGGACTCCAGTTTTATGTCAAAGAACTGTGTAAAAGCTGCATTTAATCTTGAGGGAGGTTTGTAAATGCACACTCTCGTAGACTCAAGCGCATGTCTCTGCTGCCCCCTGTAGGTGACCTGGTGTCTCGGGCCATGCATCACCTTCAGCCTCTGCACATCAAGAACCCCAGCAATGGCACTCCTGTGCACCAGAACCGCACGGGCTCCGTTCACTGGGAGCCCGAGGCCCTCTATACGCTCTGCTACTTCATGCACTGTCCGCAGATGGAGTGGGAAAACCCTAATGTCGAACCCTCTAAGATCACCCTGCACACGGAGAGGTAAGATTACTGCACGATAATGTATGATAATGTGTATTAATGCACTCGATGGTTATGAAGGGCTCATGCTGATACATAAATAATGAATGCATGGCTGTTTGTATGTTTACTCAGTTTATAAGAGATGCAAATGAATGTGCTGTTGGTCTTTAATTAATATTAATAAGCGTATTAATAAAAAATATTTAATAAGCATGCTTTAATGAATAATTAAGCAAAGCGTCGTCTCACATGTTTAGGACATTATCTCTCATGTATAATTATGGCAAACCACACATGTATGCAACATTTATACATAAATTAAATAAATTATTATATATATTTTATATATATTATATATTTTTATAGACTATAATGTATTATTATTATTATTATTATATTTATTTATTTATTATTTTTTTGTTTATTATTATTATTATTATTATTATTATTATTATTATTATTATTATGTGCTTTAATTGACAAATAGTATATTGGTCTATTGGATTGGTCTATTATATTGATCTATATTGAATCATTACTTAATTTATACTTATCTGTCAAGTCCACAAAGTATGTTCAGCTTAGGTGTAGCCTTTGCCATACAGTCACTCATCCTTTTCCCATACCCTGATGTGCACCTCTCAAAAATGTATCTACATCTTGATGATGCGAAGAAATGTATCTACATGATGATGATGATGCGAAGTGCAAGATCTTTGATTTGTTTTCCCAAGAGAGCCCCTTGCAGCCTTCAGAGAAAATTTACTACTGATGACAGAGCTGTGTTTCTCTGACTAAAAGTGCACGAGAATTAGCTTTTGGTGAATCACGATCCTGATTTCATACAGTAGCATCGCACCGTACGCATGTCCAGCATAAACTCAAACTTTGTGACTGGTGAGACTCTTTCAAAGTCAGATTTACAAATATATCCACTTAATTATTATTTCTATACACATAGCAGGTACATATTGGGCCAAGGAAGAATGTTAGATGTATTGAACAATAAAAACAATTAAATATGCCTCCTAAAAAACTCAGCTGGATGCTTCAGAGTCCAGACTTCCTATAACAAGTGACACACTGCACCACGGCGGATGCGTGCGATCTCTCATTCATATCTCTCTGGAGCGCTATATTGTTAGACTGCCCGCTTCCGTTCAAATTACACCAAAGTTACTGACCGCTACCGTGTTTTATTCTGACATTTATTCCTGAGCCGCATGAAGTGTGGTCGGGTCCCGTGGCTTCTGCGGTACAGCCGCAGGAATGCAGACCTCTAGCCTAAAGTCTTAGGACTAGGGTTTTTTCAGTCAGGCTACCACACTCTATCAACACCATGCCTGGCAGGCCATCTAGATAGCTCACCGCGCATGGTGAAGGTAGATTTTGGTAGGCCGACTGAAAAGAAAACAATGCCCCAAGACTTCAGACCACCAGCTTTCACGAACCATAAGGTTTAGATCATGGGTTACGGCGATTACTCAATGCAGAAATATAAATCAGGCTTAAGTAAAATGTTTTAAAGGTTTCTGAACTATTCTGTATGTGCACCAAAAATGAACAATGCCCCAGATTTTGCTACTAGAAAATGCTAAATATGCTGCAAAAATTGACCATGATTTCCCTCAAAGGGATATTTCACACAAGATTGTCACTATTTACTCTCCCTCAAGTGGATCCAAACCTTAATAATTTTTTTTTTTTAGGTTTAAAACATGCTTTAGTTTATCTTCCTTTGTTTTTCACTAGAAAAAAAAAACTTAAACATATTTTGAACAAGTGAAATCTTCATAAATGGTGACAGAATTTTCATTTTTGGGGTGTCTCACTTTAAGCAGTTATCAATGCCTTATCTGGAGTGCAGAATTTCAAAGAAGAAAAACACCAGCAAATGCATAGCACATCTCACCAGTGTCATAAAACATCCAGTGACCTGCTACATGATGGTGCCACCATTTCCTTCGCATGACGTCTAGTCCATTTCATGCATTACCTTCTTGTTCTGAATGTCAGTGTATCCCCAAGGGTGTTGCGATCACCACAGAGTTACTTCAAATTGCATTGACACTGACGGACAACAAGAAGAACGTGCTGTAGACTCCCATTCCCAGATGCTATGTTTCAGCACAGTAAAGTACAGTGGAGCCCTGCAGGAGCAAAGTGTTAATGGATTGTTTTAAAGTAACATAGAACTTCCGCTGTACATTGATCAATCCATCTGGACATGTCTTCCCTATCAAGTGCCCTTTCTGAACGCCCAGGAAGTGCTCGACAGTATAGGTGCATCCCCTGGGGAGACTCTGCTCTATTTTATTCATTACTTTCTTTCATTTTCACTGAAGAATGAGAAGCTAAAAGAGAGAGTGAAAGAAAAAATGAAACAGACGGTCGGTGTTGACAGGAATAAGAATGAGTGGAGGGCTGATGAATAGAGATGGAGAAAGAAAACAAGAGATCAGAGTGAAGGAGCGTCTGGAGAGGTTCAGGGTTGTGGCTTCAGATTTCAGACTTCAGTCGAGTGGACTTTTGTTGATCCGCTCAGTGACATTTCATCAAGCTTTCATCATTTATACTGTAGTGGAAAAAATACACCTAGGGCGGATGAACATTCATACTAACACTGTAATTATCACTCTTTTGGCTTGCGTATACTTTAATGCATCATTTATATTGTGAAAGACACTGAATGAGGTAGGAAACAAGCAGGATTTCCTAGAAACTTTCTATCATACTGGTCAAGGTTATATGCTTATATTTGAGATCATTTAAGTTGAGGTCAGTTATTCAGTAGTTTGTATTTTTTGATTCATGATGGTTTTACATTCATTTATGCTTTGAATTGCATTAGAGAATGTTAATCTCTGCCCTGACATCTTTTAATGTTAAAAAGTTTAATAAAGTCAGTTGTATTGATGTTTTGTTAGCTTTTTTAATGATACATTATCTAGGTTAGTCAGTAATTTTTCGAGAGGGGTGTGAATGTATTGGTGAGCTGCATGCAATGCCTTTTAATGCGCAGACCTAACCCCACCCCTCACAGTGATATCATTGTGTCTGAATGGATTCTGAACCACACCAAAACTGAGCAATGATCCAGATTTTGCAACTTTAAAATGCTCAATATGCCAAAAAAATGTAACTGGATGTCCCTTAAAGGGATAGTTCACACAAGATTTTCTCACTAGTTACTCATTTAGAAGTGGTTCCAAACTTTTATGAGTTTCTTTATGATGTGGCAGGTCTGAGATATGCAGTCCCAGCTTGCAAAGCCAAGTCTGCATCTAGATATTAGTGAATTTTTCTGTGATATTTACGATGAAGTACTACTAAAATACTTCATACTGTTAAAAATGTTACACTTTCAACATCAAACGTTGTCGGATAGTGATCACGGTACCATAATGCAATTCAGAAGTGTAAATAAATTAAAACAGTTGTAAATCACGGTTTGAATGTCTCGTTAAGTGCTTTGAAATATGCATTTTTATTCGATGTTTGGCATAATATCAAACAAAACACAAAGAAAGGGATATAGTGTAGTGTGTGTATTATCACAGCTCTGCCAGTGAGAGTGGTTGAGCTTAAGTGTATCAAATGAAAACTAAATTAGCAGCATCTTGAAGGGGGCAGAGCATGTCAGATACTTAAGAACATTTGATTGGTTATGATTTGATGAGAAACTGCAGTATGGGTTGACGTGAATAAAACCGTTGATACATTTAGATGGAAGTGACAAACTACAAGCTTTGCATGTTTACGTGGATTTCGTCACTGCTTTAGAGCCCACTAGCTTATAGATATTTTATGAACTAACAATATACTAATACTAGCATCTAATAAACTTTGTTTTAATTTCATGGGACCTTTAATACATGTATTAAATTAAATATATAACTGCTGTATTTAATACATGTCTGTTTTTACTCACCAAGGCTGCGTTTATATTATTAAATGAACTATACATAATTTTTAAAACCTTGACCTTAGTGGCTTGAGGTGATCATCGTATTGTACTTGTTCTCCCATCAAACAACTCTGAATGGTTAATTATTTCCATAAGTCAGTGTTATGTATCATAGTAAAATGTTTATGAATACCACAATATTTTCCAGGTGATCTCTTGCAAGCACATAGCCGTATTATAGAAAAACTCCCTTCCATAGATGTTAAAATCCATAACGCAACAACAAAAAAACCAACAGTACTTTCCAACCAGATGTGGCTTCCCTTTTCAACAGCTGGAATGAGAACTACATCCTTTTCCTCCAAACATTTCTTCAAAGGGAGGGGAGTTATGAAGCACATTATTCAGGCACATGAGAAACAGAGAAGGCCTTGCGGTTTGTTTTGGCGGAGCTGGGATTCCTGGCAAGCTCTCTTGCGGTGGGAAGGTGTCCGGGGACGAACATTGTGGATTATGCAAAGCTAGCTGTGAAACGCAGGTCACAGGAAACACAATTAGATCAAGATAGAGGGTTCAGGATGAGGATTGATGCTTCTGGTCTGGTTCATTATTTGGTCAAATGCTGTTGTCTTTGTATTTACATCTAAGTGTGTGTGCAAAAAAAAAACTCTCATGTGTAAATTATGATAACAAGCTTAGCACAGAAGGGTGTGTGGAAAAGTTTGACAAAGACAATCCTGTTGTGTAGGCGGACAAAAACTGTGAAGTCACTTTTTTCACACTTGAAAGCCATAAACTAAGCCCATTTTACACTTTCTACTGTTTTTTTTCCAATACAGTCATATATAACTGATATTATTAGCATGTTTATCTACAACAACCTGTCAAGACTAGGTTAAAAATATCTGGATATGCTCATCGGAAATGCTTGAGGAAAAAAATTCAGCGCACAATGACTGATCATCATGACTCACTGTAGTTGTCAACGTCCTCATGTTCTTTAACCTTTGAATAGTTCTGAGTGTTATATATGTAAAACTGGTGGTTGGCACATTGAGAAAGTTTAACGGAAGTATATTTTGCAGCCGCTTAATGATTAATCTGTTTGGCGTGAGAGTGTATTCTTGGTAACGAGCAGCTTCAGGTTTCTTTTTCTGACTGAAAACTTGTCAGGATGGCAACAGGTCTTTCATATTTTGCACGCTAATTAGATACAGCTTAGCTCTGGTAATTAACAGCAACTGTAATCTTGCCAGAGAGCTTATGATAGCTTCCTTTATAGTATCCAAAAGCTGCATGCAAACAGAGGTGTCCATCAAAACTGAAACTTTTAAAGGTTATGAGAAGAAACAAGCATACGCTGACTCTCATTGAACTGGATTTGTTTTTTAATAATAAAAAAAGCTGATCTGAAGGATTAGACAGAAAATAAATTGGTAGACCAAAATAAAATCTTGAAGATTATTACTTTAAAAAAATGCTTTACTTTAAAGAACATTTTTAGTTAAAGAATTTACTAAAAGTGCACCGTTTGCTTTCTCAGATATTACCATTTATGTCGTGTGTAATGGAGCTGTTTGTGTATGTAAAAGGTCTGCGGTTTTAAGGATCAAAGTGCAGATAAATGGATTTATTACCTCTCAAAAGAAGCAATTGAGTCGCCAGTAAATTGAGTCTTTCTGCACAAACCAGTTTAGGCTTGTAACAAATGCACATAATGGCAGCCTATAATCGTCATTGGCTGACCTCAAACAATGTCTGTCGTTGTAACTTAGACCTGGAAGAGTTCGGTTTGCACTTCAAAAGTAAATGCGTTGTTCATGTGTAACGGCGGCCAGCTAATAGGTGCTGTGCAGGTAAACCTCACTCCTCTGACGTCTAAAGGTACTCTAGCGACAAATGCTAGAGGCCATGGTCTTTAGCCTCCTTGTTAGAGCAACTGACTCAAATGTGGAAGGTCGCCGGTTCGATACCAGCTTGGAGCGGGTTAGGAGGCGTAGGACTGGCGGGGTTGCATTAGTGCCGTGACCCGAATGGGAGTGAGATTTAGGGGAATGAGTGTAACGGAGGCCAGCTAGTAGGTGCTGTGCAGGTAAACCTCACTCCTCTGACCTCTAAAGGTGCTCTAGCGACGTCTTTTGCCTCCTTGTTAGAGCAACATTCTTATTTGGAAGGTCGCCGGGTTGATACCAGCTCGGGGCGGGTTGTAGGGCGGAGAAGTAGTACTGGCGGGGTTACACATGCACGTCTAAAGGACGAAGACCTGGCGTTGAATTGATATAGTAAAATCAGTGCCATCACTGTTGTAAACACTAAACACCTGTAATCATAAAGTCATGTTGTCTGATATTGTTTTTTGAATGCATAAGAAATCAGTAATGAGAGACAATAATGTTATTTTTGTTTTTCAAAACGTTAAACCCGACTTCAGTGGTAAGCATTTCGAGTCATCTAAAATGTTGATGTTATGTAAATTAATAGCAAAAATTGAAGTTCTCAAGTTTAAGTTGAAATGGGGTTCTATAAAAAGCCCTTGGAAATGGCTATTTTTGGATATGGCATTGGATTTTTACCATGGGCTTCAAGAAATAAACCAATCACAACAGGCTAAACCATCTTGACCAATCAGAGCAAAGTAGGCAAAGTTGGTAGATCCTTGAACAAACCATTTCAGTAATGAGCAGATACTGCAATATATGTTATAAAACTAAAATTGTGTTTCCTGGTATTGAATAATTGATAGCGTTTTTGTAGGAGAACTTTAAAGCAAAATTAGCAACCTTTAAAATCTGTGTGAAATTAAAATGTTTGCTAGTGAACATTTTTATTCTTTAGGTGAATAATTAGTCTTATGTAAGTTAATCCACTGAAGAAAAAAGTTTGTTTTGGTAATGTTTAATCAAAGTCTGACAATTTGCTTCCACGTTTGGAGTCGTGGTTCTTCTCTGACGTCAGTTTGACAGCTTCAGCCACAGCATTCTTAATCACTCCTTTCTTACCTTGAGTTTGCTACAAGGAAATGTTGGCTATAAAGAAAGCCCCGCCCCCTACTCAATATTCAGTTTCAATTTGAAATACATCATCATACTGAACTAAAAGTCGTAGCAACTTCCAGTTCAGTCTTTAAAATAGCATAATAGAGGAGTAGAAAGTAATAGTTTTACATTATATGGTTTCCCTAATAATAAATGTCACTGTTCTGCCCTTACAGGCCGTTCCTGGTACTGCCTCCACTTATGGAGTGGATCCGGGTGGCCGTAGCTCACACTGAACACCGCCGAAGCTTCTCAGTGGACAGTGATGATGTTCGACAGGCGGCTCGACTGCTGTTACCCGGAGTGGACTGTGAGCCGCGGCAGCTCAAGTATGTCTGGATTGTAACATCATTTCTGTGCATGCACAAACACATAAGTGGCATACACACATGCGCATGTAGATTTAATTACCAGTTAGTCATGCATTTTAGGACAGAACAAATAAACATCATGTACTCATAATGCATCCCTAGAGAATTGCACAAAGTCCTCTTAACTTCTTATGCAGCTCTAGTTTCCTGGTGACAGGGTTTGGAGTGCTATGAAAGTGGCTTGTTGCATAGTTGTTTTTAGGAGCATGCTGTTATCTTAATAGATGGAGACGATCCTGGCAAACAAACAACAGGACTTCAGCTCTGGCCAGACTAGTCATATTTTTGTTCTGAACATAGTAATAGTTTTAGATGAAGTAATTATATTGTTATATTTTGTTTTTTTTATTAAATAGAAATAAGTGTACATTATGTTCTACTGTAATAATATTGTTATACTTGAAAAGCACATACACATTTCAAAAATGGAAAATAATCTGTGCATTTATATTATGCAATATATAATTCATATTTACAATTATCTTAAACAAACAATTTACATATTTAATGATTTTTTGAATTATATAATAATTTTTAATAATTATTAATTTTAAAAATTATTATGTTTAATAATATTTATTTGTGTATATGCATCAATGTGTGTATTATTATTTAAAACCAATTATATTACTATATATAAAACACTAACATTATATATTATGGACAATAACTGCAATTCATTAATACACAGTTATCAAATTTAATGTATATGTAATTCATAAATGCCATTATATATACACAGTTATATATACAGTTAAGGTCAGAATTATTAGCCCCCCTTTGATTTATTTATTTATTTTTTTTATATTTCCTAAATGATGTTTAACAGAGCAAGAAAATTTTCATAGTATGTCTGATAATTTTTTTTCTTCTGGAGAAAGTCTTGCTTTATTAAGGCTAGAATAAAAGCAGTTTTAAATTTTTTAAAAACTATTTTAAGGTCAAAATTATTACCCCTTTTAAGCTATATTTGTTTTCGATAGTTTACGGAACAAACTATTGTTATACAATTACTTGCCTAATTACCCTAACCTGCCTAGTTAACCTAATTAACCTAGTGAAGCCTTTAAATGTCACCTTAAACTGTATAGAAGTGTCTTGAAGAATATCTAGTAAAATATTATGCACTGTCATCATGGCAAAGATTATAAATAAATCAGTTGAATGAGTTATTAAAACTATTTTGTTTAGAAATTGGGGAAAAAAAATAGGGCGGCTAATAATTCAGGGGGGCTAATAATTTTGACTTCAACTATATATATATATATATATATATATATATATATATAATTTAATATATTTATATATTTTAATATAATCTAGAAAATAATTCTAAAGAAAACATATCAAATTATTTGCAAATGTTTTGTGTTCAATCCACTTAAATTTATTATGTTAACTTAATTGATTCGTGTTGTTATATTATATTCAGTATTTTTAGTGTGTGCGTAGAGTTTAACATTCATATGAATTGTTAAGTAATGTTTTAATATAATCTGGAAAGGAATTTTTTTATAAATTATTCCAAACTATTAGCCAAGCCACATCTAAAGAAAATAAAATACCTGTTATAAGTGTGTTAAGTAAATGAGTAAGCACTGTTCATAATGTTTGGACTGATATTTCCTTTATTCCACAGAGCAGACGACTGTTTCTGTGCCACACGGAAACTGGACGCTGCGTCCACAGAAGCAAAGTTCCTGCAGGATCTGGGCTTCCGGATGCTCAACTGCGGACGAACTGACCTGGTCAAGCAAGCAGTCAACCTGCTCGGGCCAGATGGCATTAACAGTATGAGTGAACAGGTGGGCACTCATATATTTACACACACATAATCACACATTTTGTGACATTCATGTACCATTCAGTTCTTAATATACTAGATTTTACATTTGAGGCTAATTTGATATATGGAATTATACAAAATTATACAAATATTACACACAAAAAAAGGATTTTTACTGCTTGTTCTAACTTCTTATTAAAAATTAGCTTAAACAACACAATTTCGGAGATTTGTTCGGGAAACGTAATTGTTTCGTGTTGGGACATGAATGAATTGTGAGGAACCATGCTTTTTTTTTTTTTTTTTACAGTGTATTGAATTCATTTGCATTGACAGTGTATAACAAATCTGCATACCATTGCGTTTTAAACAGAAAAGCAAACTCATTGGCAATTTCAAGAGTTCCCACTTAGATATGCTTGGCGTTTATAGCAGGTTTGGCATGCTGTCCCGGGAGAGAACCCTGAGCTCGGAGATACTTGAGCCCAAGGCTCTCGACCGGTCAATAAGCAAATAAGAGGATTCGAGATCAGGTCTCGAGAGCTCCCCCTTAGAAAAGAGAGAAAAGGGAGGAGATGGGTTGGAAGGGGGGATTCTTACAAAACGAAGTTAGAGTAGTAGAGTGAAAATGATCCATAGGCTTGGAGTACCCTGATTGCATTATTACTGATTATAGAGGAGAAGCCAGTCATGCTCAATCATATCACATGCTCCTCTCGAAATTAGTTTGTGAAACTTCACTTAAAGTAACAATTTTGAAACTAACTAAAAAATATAGGCTTGATTAAAAAGAAATGGAATAACTTAATGCAGTTTGACATTTTCTGAGAAATAATATGCATTTCTCAATTGAGCCTAATATGATAAGGAGCTTGTATTTGTTTTATTTTTGATTCTTCCTTTAAATTGGCACAGCACCTTTTGACCATATGGTAACACTTTATGTTAGTCATTTTAAATTGAATGTAATTAATTACAATGTTATAACAAAGTGTAATTATGTAAAATTCCCCAAAATAATACCAAACATCCATTATTAGTCAGCACTTCTACAGTAATGTAAACGGCAGTGTAAAATTTGTTTTTCCCTACATCTGCAGCAGTTGTTTTCTCTGTCTAATATAGCAAACATTTCTGTGTGAAGACAGACATTTAGAGGCTAATCAAATAAATAAAAGACTTGCATGACCTTTAAATAAGGAAAACCGCTTTTAATCTGAGCTGATCTGTTTGGGAAGCGACTATCGTGACACTCGGCATTACAAATCAAATAGTGTCATCCGTATCTGCTGCTGAGTGCATGTTATTGTCACAGTCTGCCTTGAATACAGAAGCCAGTTTGTGTAAAGAATGACAGCGGCGTGCTGATGCTGACAAAATAGATTAAACTAACATGTAAAAGTGAAGCGACACAGAGGCGAAATCAGACGACAAAAAGAGAATTGTTGGAGTCCAGCTGGGAATCGTCGAGAGCAGCTTCATCTTACTCTGGAGGAGCTGTTTCCAAATCACGCCGGCAAATATGCTACTCGTTATTTCAAGAAGAGCCTTGAGGGAAAATGAGACGCAACTGACAAATGAATCTCCATTTTTGTGCTGAAACCTGTTTGAAGAACTGCACTCTCTCGATTTAGTAACAGAATAAAGTGTTTTTAGAGGGTTTTCAGGCACAATGTGAAGCAGGGTGACGAATATCTCTTTTAGATCACTGTAACAAATGGAGGATCGAGAGATATAGTACTTTTATTTAAAATATATATACTTTATATAGACAAAATTATAGATTTTTCTTAATATTAATTACACATCATGTGTATTTTGTACATTTGCTACTAATTTTTAATCAGTAATGTGAATCTTTTAGCACTGTATTTAGACAGCTTGATGTTTTTGAAGGTAAAATCCTTTTACATGTAATAATTTATTTCTAAATTTACCTTTGATGGGTATTAATGGTGTATGTTGTTCAAAGACTGTATTCAAAAAGCAGTTAATTAATTCCAGGCTCAATGTGCCTTCATGCACCAATGCTTGTGTGTGAGTTTCTTTAAAGCAGCTGTAGATTTGATGGTCTAGAGAATATATAGTTGTCTGTTTAATGTGCTTTAATTGAGCATCATCCATAAAGACTGCTGTTCCACTCACTTTGTTGAAATGGACACTTAAAAGACTGTTATTAGAGATTTGTTTTGCTCAGTAACCCTTAAAGGGATAGTTCACCCTAAAATGAAAATTCTGTCACTATTTACCCATCCTCAAGTGGGTTTTGTTCCTTTTGTGTTACTTTCTTCTGTTGAACACGAAAGAAGATAATCTGAAGAAAATTGCCAACCAGTAGCCGTTGACATCCATAGAAAGTCAATAGATTCCAGTTTACAGTATTCTTCAACTTTTTCCTTTTTATACAACCCACTGTCGAATTTGGCCCTCAAAGGCATCTAATCCAAACAATAATTAAAAAATAAAACTTTAATTTAAATAAAATATATTTGTGAAGAATAAATAACATTTATTGGCTAAGATAAGGGTAAATTCCTTGTTGCGAAGAGTGTGACATATAGCATTTTCTATAATATCTTTTAAAATGATGAAACAACAGTACTAAAATTGTTGTTCTTGCAATATCTGAGCAAGATAGTGTACTGTATATATCCTGTACACACACATTTTCTCCCAAACTATTATGCATTTAGAATGACCCTATAATTCATGAGATGGAGACAAAAACGCCTTAGAAAAGTTGTTTTTAAATTATGCAATATAGTATAGAAATGTACTGTAGTATAAATGTAGTTTCAGACATGCACGTGTGCAGATTCTCCTGTTTGATCAGCATAATTACATTTTTTTTATTATTTTATTAAAGAGTTCAACAAAACAAAACTATTATGAGGACCCACATGGAAATACAAAAGTAATTTATAATAAATACTTTGGTATTTTTAAACTATAGTAAATGTTATTATATACTGTGCATATATAACAGTAGTTGCAACACTGTTATGAATGTTACAGCATACTGTAGTATTAACTATAGCAAACTGATAAACTGTAATGAATACTGTAGTATACTTTTGTTTTACTACAGTTAACTGTGGTGTTTTGTAATATGATATATAGTCGTAGAAAACTACATCATATCATAGGGTAATTTATTTTTATATTACTGTAGCTGTTGTGGTACCATATCAACTATAGACTTATCACAACAGATTAATTCAAGTACTTTACTTTAGTATGGTTCTTACTATAAGTAACTATAGTAACTTTTCTTGTGGGAAAACTTACATTTTAGACATAAGTTTCTGTGTTCGCATGTCAATGTTCTGTGTTGGCATGTACACTCATTGATTGTGTGTCTTTTTCAGGGTATGACCCCTCTGATGTACTCGTGTGTTCGAGGGGATGAAGCCATGGTGCAGATGCTGCTGGACGCTGGAGCTGACATAAACAGTGAGGTCAGTATTCATTCACTGGTGGATGATTATAAAGGGTTTTGTGGCTCTGTCTCTATTTAACTTACTAACAGCGTCTGTAAAATAATTAACCAATCTCTCGGTCCTCCTCCTGATGCTGTTTGCATGTAAATGTGTAGAAGGCAATAGTGATTGTAATGTTTGTGCTGGTGTGTCTACTTCGGTTTTTGTTGTGCTTTTTTGGGATATTAGATGCAAGTGAGAATTTTGTTGATTTCCAACATAAATAACATATTCAAATGTATGTATTTAAAAAAAAGTGCAATAAAATGCAATGATGACCTAATGTAGGCACACTAATTGCAAAGCACTGTGGTTAAAAACATGAAACATGGTTATAAAAGTGGATTTAACAACACTGATTCATGCGAATCTAAAGGTCATTATTTTATATTTAAAGAAACATGTTTCATGTATTTGCCTCAGAGGTGAATGTTTTGAACCTGTTAAAGAACATCTCCAGGTCATATTTCACCATGCAAATCCTGTTGCATAAAGAAAATTAAGCTCTCTTTATGCATCATTACCTTTTTTGCATTGTGACTTTATAGTTTCCTGACAATTAAGCGTGTATTCAAATTATCGTAAAATGCTTAGATTACAACTTGAAATATTCCTAATGAGTCTAATTACTCCCATTCAGTGTTTTATTTAGATTATAGTACATAATATAATGTATATGTGCATATAGTACATTTAATATAAATATTGTTATTTAACATACAATTGAAGAGGCAAAATTTTTAGCCTTCCTTTTTTAGATATTTCCCAAAAGCTGCATAGTAAAGAGGAGTTTTTTATTAATATTTAATTTAATTAATAATAGTTAATAACTAATTTCATATAATTAAAATAAATTGAAAAACTGCAATAATTCCAACCAAAGTACAAAAAAGACTTATATAATAGTAAATACTGTAAAAATCATCACTTGGAAAATACTTGAAAATGAATTCAATATTTAGAGGAGGGCTATATTGTTGAACTATATAGTGTTTATATAAATATGTATTAACTTTGTTAAATTCAGTATTTAGAAATGTCACAAGCAAAATAAATATTCATATTATGAAAAATATATCAGTCATTTTTGCTATTATATATGTAATTTCTAATAATATAATATAATATAATATAATATAATATAATATAATATAATATAATATAATATAATATAATATAATATAATATAATATAATATAATATAATATAATATAATATAATATAATATTATTTTGGGGTGAAATTTGACTTTGAGTTTTTTTGTGAAAATCTCTCATCTATGTATCCTGATGTGTTATTGTGCTGTTTTACCCTTTGTTCTTTTCATTTGGCCCTTTTACTGTGCATAGAGTCTTTGACTTGGGCGCAAAGCACCAAATGCAAATACAATGATATTAGCATGTTTTACAAATTGCTTCAAGCTCAAATACACTGTTATCAAGTGGACAGATGTACAGTTATTTGCCTACCCAATCGTTTGCACAAACATTTGTTTAACCTGAATCCCACCTCGAAATGATCCATACCAAAAAGGTCATGTTTGCCCAGAAATGAACAGATGCCTGCATAATTTACCACCGACTACAAGAGAGCTCAATTCTGCATGCAGTACAGCTGTAAGCGTTACATCCAGACAAGCTTTTTTGGTGCTTTGTACATGAGTCACTGCTCACTTACACCTCTAGCGTTTCAACAATTTATTCTTCCTGCAATCTTCATACTATAAACCGTCAACTAGATCCTAACCGTGGTCAGGATTACGAAGAGGGCTTGTAGAAGTTGTCCAAAGCAAACGCAAGTAAACTCATGATTAATGTGGGCTGGATGGAAAAAAAAGTAAATAAAATGGGTTTGGAGAACAAAAGCAAGCGCTGGCACTTTCTTTCTCACTTCGCTTGAATTAACAAAACAGCCAGACGGAAGAACTTTCCAACTTTCCGCTCTCTCACTCACTCATTCCTTCCCCCCCTTTTTTTCTTTCTTGTTCTCCTTGCAAATCCGCAATCGGAGTTCAGTGTTCTGGTATATAATGGCTGATTTTTTTTTCTCTCCCTGAACTTGACCTATATGATTCCCAGGTGCCCAGCTCACTACACAAGCACCCCTCAGTTTATCCTGACACCAGGCAGGGGACGCCCCTCACATTCGCAGTGTTACACGGACACGTCCCTGTCGTTCAGGTAGTGGCGCTGTCAATGATTTGATGCCTTTGCACTTTCCTCAGTTATTATTATGATGCCACCATCGTAATAATAATGGCACACAAGAAAAAGTTAGATGCTAGGCTGCTGCCCCAGTTCTGAACTGGAACTGGAATGGCCATTGCTATCAGGAATAGGCTTTATATGTGCCAAGGAAGAAAAGAGGAACGCTTTGAAGATAGAAGCTAGTTTATTGACTGTGTATCTCTATAAATAATCTTCAGATTGAAGCGCTGAATCCAGTGACCTACTGAGGCCCACTTATTTAGCTTTTTTACAGGAAAAATGGAAAGGCAAGGTGATATTTTTGTGGATTTTTAATCTCCCAGAAGCACACATTCCACAGTAGTTACCATTTTTATATATATTTTCCCCATTTTTTTTAAAGCAGACACAAAATCGTCCACTTAAAGCATCAAGAGGGAAAGATGTTATGAGGATATTAACATAAAGATGTTTGCTAGTTGGAGGTTGGCTAGGTGATGAAAAGAGCAGGGCTCATTTAATGTAATTACAGCACTTGTATTTACAGATATCTTGGTGATATTAAAGTTAAATCCCCTGAAGTCTGTTTTATAATGACTGCCTTTTTCACCTTATTGAGCAGCTTCTGCTGGATGCCCGAGCGAACGTGGAGGGGGCGATTCAGGAAAGCACAGAGAACTACACGGAGACGCCTCTACAGTTGGCATCTGCGGCAGGTAACAGAAAACACTGAATTGTTATCGTATGCAGAAGCCAAACTGGAAAAGTGTGGATTAAAATGCAAAATATTAAACTAAGCAGCATCTACAGACATGAAGAAAAAGAAATATGTGCAGTAGTTATTGGTGTTAAGGTTATTTTTATTGCACAATATAACGGTAGTAGAATATTGCAATACCCTCTTGATAAAAACAAAATAAATTCTCATTTTTGTACATGCACAACTATTACCTGCTTGTTTATATGTATATTCATGCAGCACAGAATTAAAGAAATTGTTTATTGCACTTGAAAGACCTTACGCACATAAAATTTCCAGTTGTGATATAATCAGATGTGCATCAGTATACAGAGCGACGTCAAAACCCTGATGACTAATTTGCTGAAAATCTCAAGGGAACCAGCTGTGAATTAGTTTTCAGTGTTTTGACGTCATTACTGCAGCACTTTATTAGATCTGTTCTTTAGATCTTAAAGTGACAGCCTTATAAACAGGATCACTGTTACTAATATTAACACAACTCAACTAGCAGAATGATTTTGGTGACAAATCTCATTTTGACACATATTTTGGGAAAATGCTGTGATAAAAGGTAAAAGAAAGTCCACAATTACTTTTTTATTGAAAAATAATTGAAAACTAAATTGAAAATAAGTCAATTTGTGTGTGTTTTTTTCACCAAATCAGTGTCATAATTTGTGAACTCAAATCAAAGAGTTAAAATCCTGCCATGTTTTAAAACTTTTAGTAGTTTTGATCAGGACTAAGGTTGATTGACCAAAAAAAGAAAAAAAAGAATATATATATATATATATATATATATATATATATATATATATATATATATATATATATATATATATATATATATATATATATATATATATATAAAGTATTTATCTGAGAATAATAATATATCTGATGCAGTTTAATTTAGTGAATTTCATCCTTAATATAACAAAAGGTTAGTACATTTGAACAGTGCACAAGGGTTAATTAACCAGCAAAATCTAATTGATGACATTGTGATGTGTTTTTTTAAGGGTCGCAGTAAGTGGCATGTAATTTCATTAAAATATGTAAAATAAAAATGACTTTTAGCTCAGGTAATACTCTCAGAGTTACAGCACTGAATACTATCTACATTTTAAGTGTGCAGTTTAATACATTAGAGTGATAGTTCACTCCAAAATGAACATAATTGAATTAAACAAGGCTAAACTTGGACTTTAAGTGAAAATCTAACAGATGTCTAAGAATAGCCCAAAACTAGACTAGTCGTCAAATAGACAGATTAGACAGACTTTATATTTGTAGTCATTCATTCCTTTTTATTTGACGACTAGTCTAGTTTTGGCCTATTCTTTGATGTCTATTAGATTTTCACTGACAGCCCAAATTTAGCCTTGTTTTAGCCAATATGACTATTTTTAGATGTCTTTTAGACATCTATTAGACATCTTTTAAAAACAAAAAATGCTTGCTGGGTAACTAATCTGACAATCCGCAGACTCAATTGTTCAGTTCATAAAAATAGGCACAAACAAATGGTAACAGACACAGAGAGGGAAAACACACTCCAACAAAGCCCCAAAAAATGTCTTTGAGTTTGACTTTGATTGTTGTTGGTTCACCCAAAAGTGATCATTTACTACTAAAAAATGTAGGTGACATTTTTTTCCTCCAGTAGCTTCATAAAATGCAAGTGAATGGCTACCAGAACTTTGAGAGTAAAAAAAAAAAAAAAAAAAAAAACTAATAAAAACAAAATAAATACTTGTTGCTCTCGATGATACATTGAGGTCCTAAAGTGAAATAATCAGTCTGCTCAAGAAACATTATATAAAGCATTAACACCTTTAACCCACAGCCTGTGCAGTATTTTCATACTATGTAGTTCTTAAATGTTGTAAAATTCACTGTTTAAGAGTAAATAAACCACTTTTAAAAGTGCTAACCCTCCAATATTCACTTATGGAGAGTATGTAAGTGAAATCACTGACTGTTAGATTAAGCTGCATTAGAGGATGTCGCTGTGTACAACCAGGATCTATTTTTTTAAAACGGTAACATTCTGTTCCTTTTGTGCCTCTAATTTCAGTAAAACGGTCCTTGCAGACTGTGAGCTGACAAACTGAAGACATTATACTTTTGTGGACTGACTGGTTCCAGAAGCGTAATAGTATTATTCAGAGACTGATGGGGCTGCTTCGCTCTCGAGAGCCCTCTGCAAACTTGCTAATGAGCCTTAGCGGCAGTGGCTTTTTTTCCCCCTTAACATCCACTGTGTGAATGTGACAAGTCCACATGGTGGAATGATGTATGGAAACCAGTGCCAAATGAGATTTCATAATCCCGGCTGTGGCAGTCCTATGAATATGAATTGACCTGAGTGATATTCATTTACATTTGCCAAGTGTTTTCCAGCATAATGCTGAAAATTACCTGTCTGACCCACTTAGCGTACAAACTCTTGAAGAGTCGGGTAATTCAGGCTTGAGTCGGCTGGTAATGGACACCTTCTTGGTGTGATAAAAACGGATGGGGTGCACAAAAAATGGTATCATCTCATGCAGAGGAGGAGAATGAAGGAGCACAAGCTGAACCCATTGAGCTGAAATGTCTAGAAACAGGTTTAACCATATGCCTGTTCCCTTGTGACCCACAGAAATGGCTGCGGATAGGATTGTTTGAGCCTCATCGGATCTAAAACTCATCAGGCCTCATTGATTACGCTCCATTTGCTGTATGCTAGGTCAATTACCCCCAGTGTTAGCATTCGGGTTTTCCTTCTAATGTAGAAACGCTTTCCTCTCATTACTCCATGTGGACAGCCTGCTAATTTACATTAGCAAATCAATCTGGGGACGTCCTGCTAGACCATCTGAATAAATGAGTCAATAAATAAGCTTTTCTGTAACATCTCAATATCAGAGATTTCTTCTTCAGGACTCATGTATGCTATAATCGAACAGGTCAAAAGAGATAAATGACTTCTGTCTTTAAATTTATGCTGTTGTTTTTTTTAGAATGAGGGAATTGTAGCTTGAGGAGCTTAGATAACCAAACAAAAGAGGATAAATAGCACAAAACTTGACCAACTTAATGTTTCATTATGGATTTGGCAAAAGGAATGGGTAACATAATCAAATATACAGTAATTAAAAATGTATTGCACTTTGTGTATTGATTTATTGATTGCAAAGATTGCGAATGGCCAAACAGACATTTCTAACATTTTCATAATATACTGTTTTGTATTATTTATTATTAATTGACATGAATATAATTGATAAAATTATCTGTTTTTAATATCATAATTTTATTCTTAACAATTTTATTAATGAATTCATATCAACATATTGACATGATTATTATTGACTAAAGGTTATAAATAATTTTTATTCAATGTTATTTTTATTTCATTATTTATTCACTTTTATTTATATATGTGTTACGTTACATGATTTTAATGAACAAAAATAACATTAAATTGTTTAAAAAATTTAATAAAAATTATTTATTCATTTACTTATAAATATTTAGATTATTGACTAAAATATAATAATTTTTAGACATGTATTTAAGCAGTTTTAAATATTTATTCAATACTTCTATTTCTCTCTCTTTCTCTCTCTCTCTCTATCTCTCTATCTCTCTCTACAATAATACATATTGGTATTATTATGATGGACAATTTATTTTACTTTGATCGACTACAATATTTTTTAATCAATATATTTTTTTATTTAATTATTTATTCATTTTTATTTATTTATGTGTATCACTTGATATTATGAAATAAACGTTCACACTTTTGCACTATAAACATACGATTGACTAAAAGCATTTTTCCACACATTTATTGAAATATTCAACAATTTTGCTCTTCATCAACACACAGCAGCCCTGCTGTCATAATCTTATTACAAAATCAGACACCCTTTGCCTTGAAATCCATTCACATGAGGCATATTTTATACTCTACTCATCAAAAACAGCAGTGTCTCTACGCTGATCTTAATAGCTTGTCTCTTTCTTGCAATAAAAGTGTCAACAAAAATGTATTCAATATAAATTGTGTTTTATCAGGCAACTTCGAGCTGGTCAGTTTGCTTTTGGAAAGAGGAGCAGACCCTCTGATTGGCACCACTTACCGGAATGGCATTTCCTCCGGTCCACTGGGTGAAATGAACTCGTACAGCCTTGCAGCAGCACATGGACACAGGTAAAGTACCACAAAGCCAATGATTTACCAGCATATGATGTGTATAAAGCCACGGCACATTCACCACCAACCCAACTTTCATTAGTCCATTGACACATTTGTCACCACATATCATTATTTCCGTGTTCTTATACATCATTCTGACTGCAGAAACTTAATTTATCAGATCCGAAACCCCTGATGTGTTTTTATTGGCACGCATAAAAGCTGAGCTGGTGCATTTGACCGCAAAATCCTGTGTAATTTACTACCACAACATCACTCTCGGTGGCCGGTTGAACTGTATGGATGACTGCGCTCTCATTCATTGAGTCTCACCTATGGCCAGCGCTGCATAATGGACGCTCATTGAAATTCACACCACATACAGTACGTCTGAATGAGAATCCAGTGTGTTCGATGGCCAACTCTCCCACATCTGCACTATTAAGGCAATTCGTTATAAAGGGGCGTCCAATTTGGGACATGTTGTGTTGTCTGAGCCAGAAGCGAATGTCTTTGGCTTTAAGTTGTAGAGTTGTTTGCAGCTTTACATGCCGCAGTGATTGCTTGTTTATGCATATTAGATGAGTCGTAGAGTGCTGGAACTTTTCTGAGCTTACAAAGACTTTGAAAATGCGGCAAAGCAGGGAAAAAAAACGCACTGGAATGCATTGATAAATGGAAGACATAAAAGATAAGCTCACAGTTTTTTATAAAGGCTGTTTTTTTCTTTGTTTTGTACTCATCAATCCACTGATTGCAAGCAAGTAATCCTTGTGGTTAATGGTTTTGGCTGAAATAGACTGTTTTACTTTTGACAGTCTAATGTTTCTTAAAAGAGGTAGTCAATGCATAAATGAAACTTGTTTACTCTTGCTATGATAAGTATATAATTTATAAAATGAATTATCGTAGGTCTTTTATGCTCACAAAAGCTCCATTAATTTGATCAAACACAGTAAGTATTGTAATATATTATTAGTTTATAAAAGAGCAGACACGTATTTCAATATATTTTAGCCAATGTAGTTTTCTGAGCCTTTAGAAATCAAGCCGATTTGGTCAAAAAATGATTACTGTTTATAATATTTTGGATGAAACCATAAGACATTTCCTTTCAAATGTTCTGATATACAGTTAAGTCCAAAATATTTGGACATTGACACAATTCTAACATTCTTGGCTCTATACATCGATACAATGGATTTGAAATTAAACCAACAATGTGCTTTAACTGCAGACTGGCAGCTTAAATTTTAAAGTATTTACATCCACATCAGGTGAACGCTGTAGGAATTACAACAGTTTGCATATGTACCTCCCACTTGTTAAGGGGCCAAAAGTAATTGGACAGAATAATAATCATAAACCAAACTTTCACTTTTTAATACTTTGTTGTAAATCTTTTGCTGTCAATTACAGCCTGAAATTTTAAACGCATAGACATCACCAGACACTGAGTTTCATGCCTGATGGTGCTCTGTATGGCCTCTTGAGCAACTCAAATTAAAGCTGACAGTCTGCAGTTAAAGCACATCTTGTTTGTTTAATTTTGTAATGCATTGTGTTGGTGTATAGAACCAAAAATATTAGAATTGTGTCAAAAATGTCAGAATATGTATGGACCTAATTGTTTAATAGAAACTTCATAATAGATAATAGAAATAGAATAGAATAGAAACTTCATAATAGAAAGCATTTATTTGATATATATATATATATATATATATATATATATATATATATATATATATATATATATATTATTATAGAATTATACATATTATTATAGAACATTTCTCAAGTCATTGACTCATTTGCTTTGCTAGATCTTGCCAAAAAAAAAGAAACAACAAAAGCAAACCAGAATGATTGTATGATAAACCAAAAATGATATATTCAAATAATTAAAAAAAAAAAATTATTACTTGTTGTTTCTGCCTACTCTAATACCTCAAATACAAAGATGCTTGTAAAAACTAAACAACTTAACAAAGCAAAATATTTATTATTTTTATGATTATTTTTATGATTATTATTATTATTATTATCATTATTATTTTTATTATTTTAGATAAATCATGCCCTAAGACTTTAAGTGTACTTTGTTTTATACACTTTTGTTATTGATTCGTTTATTTTCATTTTATTGTGCTGTTATACTTTTTATGTGTTTAAATTCACATTTGTATTATGATTTACCCAACTGATTTTGTTTGGTACATTTGGTCCTGCAGGAACGTCTTCCGGAAGCTTCTGTCGCAGGTGGAGAAGGACAAGGGGGACGTGTTGTCTCTGGAGGAGATGCTGGCTGAGGGTTCGGAGGCCGTGGAGAGGAGAGCGCCACAGAATGAAGGCACCCTCCGGACAGGCAAGGCCAAACTAAGAGCCCTCCGCGAGGCCATGTACCACAGTGCCGAACACGGCCATGTGGACATTACCATAGACATCCGCAGCCTGGGTTAGTAAAAACACTGCACGATCACCACAGACATGCTGCCATTAGTCTCAGCCTCAGATCACGTTTATAAAATGATAATACCTGCCATGATAAAAGAAGTAAAGGCACAAAGACTTTTTTATTCAATCAGACCACTGAAGTTAATATGATTTTCTTTATTTATATCTGAGGTTGAACTAATCTCTTGCCAAAGTTTACCAGGTTAGTGGCATCAAATCTTTGAAAGACTGCCTTTGAAAGATGTTTGAAGCCCTTAGTTGCTGGTTAACTATGAGTGTCTTTTTTTCTGCCTGTCACTATCCCTTAACATCACGTTTTTCCACTAACACTGAGTATTTACACTACCATTTATTTATAAATGAAATTATTACTTTTATATTTCAGATTTCTTTTATAGGTTTTCTACATGGAAAACCAATTACAACATTCATTTTATAATTATCCTTGCATGTTGTTGTTAACTTTGCCCCAGATAAACACTTCCCTCCCTCAACAGCCTATAAGTAAAATTAAATAAATAAATAAATAATAATAATAAAGATAAATAAATAAAAAATGAAAGTGAATAATCAATATGTATTCATATAATATTGCTCATTGCTTATGGTCTTCGCCATAATAAATAATATTTTTAAATGAGTATTTATTTCAATTATTTCAATATTTCAGCTTTTACTTTATTTTTTTATCTGACTGTGGTTTCTTTTATGGTTTCAGTGTGCATTTTCTTATTTCTGTGAAGGCCACAAATATGAAACTAAGTTCGATATTTTTACATTTAAAGAAATGAGAAATAGATTTTATCTTAAATAGCAGTTGTTTCAGTTTTTACTGTATTGTTTGACTGTGTAATCTTTTTATTGTATATTTACACCACTATTATTTACTGAAAACAAAATTTCCCTTTGGTATTTTTCTAACAATATAAACAAAAACAAACATGTTGTCCCTTACAGTTAAAGTTCTCGTTATCAGAATAAAACAGTACATCAAATAAACTAATTTCTGTCTTATGCTTCATTTTTGTTAATAAACAATTTTAAATCTTTTCAAAATATTCTTGAGTAAATACAATAAAAAAGCTAAATTGTTTATTTTTCTTGACCACAAAATTCACAAATATATGAAATATCAAGTTTAAATCTTTCCAAAACAATTAAATTTAGTTATTTATACAAAACTTATTTGTCAACTTCCAAGCTTTAACCCAAGAAATATTATCAAATAATGAAAACCAAAAATATCTTGCTATAGATAGAGACAACGAACAAAGAGGATGTCAAAATTATGCCTGCTCACATCAGTCTCCGAAAACGTCACAGAATGCAGTATTATGCATGTCAGGTCACTAGATGATGATGTCACTTTGTAAAGAAATGCTACATGCACTGCAAAAAATAACACATTTTTCAGTTTTACGTTTCCCCCTGCATGTTGTGCCATAAAAAACAACCCCAAACTATTTACTGTAACATGTTCACAGCATGCATCACATTAACGTAGATTAAACATCACAGGTTGAATGTTTTGTTTTGCTGCACAGATTGATTATGTAGTGTCCCGCATACATTATCTGATATATTGTTTGTATATGCAGGCGTACCGTGGACCCTACACACATGGCTAGAGTCTCTGAGAACATGTTTCGTGCAGCAGCGGCGGCCACTGATCCAGGGCCTATTGAAGGACTTCAGTTGCATTAAAGAAGACGAGTACACAGAAGAGCTCATCACACACGGACTGCCACTCATGTTCCAGATCCTTCGAGCCAGCAAGGTCCATTCTCAATTATCTGATACTGACTGATCCAGTATCAGTGCTTTATTTGCTGCCTGATCTGATCATATCACAACTCATTCATCATGTTGAGCTTTAATCTATTTGCTGCTCAAATTTAAATTCAGAGCACCTACATTTCTCCATCTGCTATTCTAGAACTCATTCATATTTTATTATTTAGCTTTAGTTGTTTTGTGACTTGTTGCTTATCTTTTTGTTTTTATTCAGCCTTGATTTCTTTGTAGTTTTTTGTTTATTTTAAGTTTTTTTTTTTTTTATTAAATGAATGAAGTATTTATATCTACATTTTATACAGTTATAATTGTGGTAATTTAATTTCATTAATGCAAATTTCTAGATTTTGTTTATTATTATTATTTTTTAATCTAATACCTCATTCCTGCTTTATTTCAATTAACGAAACAAAATTTTTTAATTTTAATTTTGTTTGGCATTGGTTAAAAAAAACTTTAAGTATTTATTAATATGATTTCATTTAGATTGTTATTTTCATTTACATTTTCATATTTTATGTTCTCTTAAAATGTTTGTTTTGTTTTTTTTATTTATATTGGGGTTTCCTATTTTAGTTTTAAGCACATAAATGTATTTAATTTAATTAAAAAAGAAACATTTCTTTTATATATACAGTTTAAATCAGAATTATTAGCCCCCCTATTTCCCAAATTATGTTTAACAAAGCAAGGAAATGTTTGATAATATTTTTTCTTCTACAGAAAGTCTTATTTGTTTTATTTCGGCTAGAATAAGAGCAGTTTTTTTTTTTTTTTACATTTTAAGGTCAAATTTATTAGCCCCTTCACTCTAATAATAATAATAATAATAATAATAATAATAATAATAATAATAAAAATAATAATAATAATAACAACATCCAAAATATTTAAATGTTTTCCTCTGCTCTATCTAATATTTTTAGATTTAGGTCTTTTTTTATAAATTTGTTAAATTTATGCAAATGTAATTTAAAGCATATTATTTGTGCCTTATTTTCTGATTGAGGGCATGTATTTTAGTCGCTCTGCTACTATAGCATATAGCATTATTGTCACATTATCGTTTAAATAATGTGCGGCACTTGAGAATTTAATGTCCCTCATAAGTCTCTGCATTATTGTTATCACTGCGTGTCAGTCTGTGACTCCGAGCAAACAGGCAATCAACGTCAGCCACGCCAGATTCAGCTTTCTCCATAATTACCATGATAAATCCTCTAATTACAGCGCTCGTCATAAGTGGCGTGTTGGTATTACCATAGGCTTGGATGCGTTTTGCTTTTAGAAAACAGGCTTAAAGGTCTGACTCCAGCATGTGTTTGTGTGATCTGCAGAACGAGGTGATCAGCCAGCAGCTCTCAGTCATTTTTACCCAATGCTATGGTCCTTTCCCAATCCCCAAACTCACCGAGATCAAGAAGAAGCAAACGTCTCGCTTGGGTGAGTTTTTCGCTCATGTCTCTTCATTAATCTCAGCTTCAAATGCGATTTCTCTGCCCCTACATTACTGATGCCCTGTTCATACCAAGCATGATAACTATAGACTAGGGCTGTCAATCGAATAAAAAAATATATGCATTAGCAAATTTAACATATAAAGGATGATTTAATTGTAAATGTGTAGAGCTGAAATTAAGAAATGGATAACGTGCTCTTATGTAGGCATCGGCCTGTATACAATACTGACAGTATGATGACCTTGTATTAAAATATCATGGCTTCACGGTTTTGTGATTACTGCTCTAAAATAACTTCTTTTTTAATGTCTGGATAGAAAACAACATTTTTTTTACCATTGAATGCAATACTGCACTGTTCATGTCTATAGAATGCTTGGATGTTGGTGCATATGTTTTCATATGTTCTTCAAATGTTTGCTGAATCGTGGGCTGACCTGTAGCTTTTGACATGGAGGGTCCTTTGATCGTGGAGATACTGTTTGGCCTAAATAAATAAATTAGTTGTCCTTGATTTAAATAATAAAAAAAACTTACATATATCTAAGAAAAGGTATAAGAGAAAATTTTAGCGGTTTTAAAACATGGCTGTTTTTCAGTTTTAAGAACGCAGAGAACAGACTTGCACTCTTGTTGAGACTGGCCTTGCCTGGTCACCTCGGAAGAACGAACTTAGGAGACCATGAGAACACAGAACACAACCTCTGAGAAATGAGATGCTGCGTTCTTCCTGATGGTCACAGACCTTCTCGCATTTTTAATGGAAAACTATTTAAACAGTACAGCATTTATACAACGATTTATTTATTTTTTTCCCTTTTCAATATAAATGACATGCACAAAATCCTTACAAATATACTTTGCACAATACAAACAAATCACATTTTAATAGGAATTTCAGCTAATAAACACCCTTAAAGTGTTTATGCCTTTATTAAGATTTTTATGGTAATGTTTACTTACACCATCTCATTTGGGAAAACTCCTGAAATAAATTAATTATATCTCTTAACTTTAAAAATAAATGTATATAAAATGCTGCGCTTTGCCACCTCCTTTATTCAGCCCACTGACTTCTCGGACTTCTATAGTGAGTTTGGTGCTCAAGTCTGCATTGATGGATCGTCAATACCAAGAACACATCCAGGAACATCACAGTATCCTCCATTCTTGTGGTCTTAAGTTTTGGAACTGAACTTTTGCGGTTGATGATGAACAGAACGCTGATGAATGCATATTGACAAACAGCCCATAACTTTTCCAAACTGTGGTTAATCTTGAAACCGGCTATTGTCCTATTCCTACTCTTAAGGCCTATTCACAACAAACACAACTATAAATATTACAATAAATAAACTTCCGTCCACACTGACAAACTATTAATCTTTACTTCTAAAGCACGTTTAATGATGTAGATTGTCAAAGTAGCTTAACATACATGAAGTTTTAGTCAATTAAAACCAATAAAAATTGGTTCATTTTTAGTTTATGCATTACTTCCATGTAACCAGCAGATGTCCCGTGTGCTTCTTGTATCAGTCTGACCAGTAAATCTTTCAAATAATTAATCTTATTAAAATGTTCTCCCCATATTGGTGTGGGTTTCCTCCAGCTGCTCCAGTTTCCCCACAGTCCAAAGACATCTGCTATAGGTGAATTAAATTGGCCGTAGTGTATGAGTGTGAATGTGAGAGTGTATGGGTGTTCCCCAGTACTGGGTCGCAGCTGGAAGGGCATCCGCTGTGTAAAACATATGCTGGAATAGATGGCAGTTCATTATGCTATGGCGACCCCTGACGAATAAAGGGACTAAGTCAGAGGAGAATGAATAAATAATATAATAAATGAATTTAGCTCTCGCAGTCAGTGTAGTGTAATAAAAACAGCAAACTATTTCCCCCAACATTATCAAAGGATTCAATGAAATGTTCCTTAAAGTAGCTCTGGATGAAAGAGGTGCTTTATTTTTGCACTTTAATTTTCTATGTTAAAATGTAATTTGATTATTCTTTCCCATTTGGGAAATAGTTTTTTAGATAGTCGTTTTCTTTAAATAATCCTTAAAAATAGGGTTTAAAATCAAACAGCTTCTCCACAATGTCATCTATAGCTTTAAGGCTCTGGTATTCTTCAAATGAAATTGAAGAACATACTGAAATGACATAATTTTGAATCAAATCAGTTCCAAACGAAGTTCATTTTGAGTTTGTTTCAGCAGTTTGCCAAAGCCAAATTTTTGGAACCATCGCATTTAGTTTGCCTATAGCTATTAGATTGCTCAAACCGTTGATATTTCAGTGTATTCCGACAGGCTGTCTGTGTTTTAGTGTTTATTAGCTGAGAAAAAAATCATTCTGAAAGTGATCTCCATTTTATTGTTTCTCTACATCTTTATCATTATATTTGTGGTCTGAACTCTGCTGTTGTTTTAGATTCAGAATACTTTTTAGAACATCGTCTTTATCGTCGTCTTTGTAGTTATTGTGCTTGGTGCGAGCGGGCCTTAACAATATTAATAACTGAGCAATATTAAGCAAACAATAGAGCTTGGTTAATTTATAGTGCACTTTGATCCTTTGATGCTTTCCATTCGCAAACAGCTATTTTACAAACTACACGAAAGGTAATCACTGGCAAAGAATAATGGGGTGTACTTAAAGCATTAAATCCATTCACTGAAACCTTTCGATGACATTTTACTCAGGAGACACAAAAGAAGTTCAATTACAGCATATTTTTAGTCTTAGTTTAGTTTCCATTTTTAGTTAATTTGACTGATGGTTTTAGAGGAACACTAGTGCCATCTAGGCTTTGGTTAATCTATTGCAAGGCATAGAGTTATAAAACAGACATCTTTCATTCTCTTTCTTGTGTTGATGACAGCCTGTCAAATGTAAGACATGCCACTACTACTAAATAATGAAGACGCCTGTGTAATCCCTGCTGTGTTATGTTGAATGTCTGACTTGGGGACTCGATTCTGTTTGATTTGTACCATCTTACAGACCCACACTTTCTCAATAACAAAGAGATGTCTGATGTGACGTTTCTGGTGGAAGGAAAGCCCTTTTATGCCCATAAAGTGCTGCTCTTCACTGCCTCGCCAAGGTTTGAGTTTTTGTGCTTGAATTTATGACCGAGCAGAACGTGGGAGGAACCAGCTATTCTCTACTTTTAGTGCATACGCTCAGATTAGTTGGCTCACGTTAAAAGCACTCTAATAATATTCTGTAGGTAATAACTCACTGTAATTTTAGCTCTTGATATTATTTTTAAAAATGTCTTTTGTGCTCATGGGCAAAAATAACTCAAGATAACTTAAAATCGCATACTCTTTTAGACGCATATATCTATATATAAGATTAAATTAATTATTTATAAATTCATTTCATTTATATATTCATTTTAGATCTATCTATCTATCTATCTATCTATCTATCTATCTATCTATCTATCTATCTATCTATCTATCTATCTATCTATCTATCTATCTATCTATCTATCTATCTATCTATCCATCTATATATATATATATATATATATATATATATATATATCATCTATCATCCATCCAACATCTATTTATCCATCCATCTGTCATATATCCAATAATTTTTCCATTTATCATTCCTCTTTTAATCCATTGTCCGTCAGTCTATCCATCTTTCATCCATTCAGCTATAAATCAATCATCTACCCATCATTCTTCCATACATCTTTTCATCTGTCATCTCTCCATCCATCCATCCAGCTGTCATATATCCATTGTCCATCTGTCGTCTCACTGTCCATCCATCCATCCATCCATCCATCCATCCATCCATCCATCCATCCATCCATCCATCCATCCATCCATCCATCTATCTATCTATCTATCTATCTATCTATCTATCTATCTATCTATCTATCTATCTATCTATCTATCTATCTATCTATCTATCTATCCTGTCCGTCTGTCTGTCCGTCCGTCCGTCCGTCCGTCCGTCCATCCATCCATCCATCTATCTTTCATCCTTTTTAACATTTATCCATCCATCCATCTATCCATTCAACTTTCCATCTGTGATTCCTCTATTAATCCACTGTCCGTCAATTCTTCCATACATCTTTTCATCTGTCTTCTCTCCATCCATCCATCCATCAATCCATCCATCCAGCTGTCACATATCAATTGTCCATCCACTCACTGACACATCCATCATCTATATGTCAAGATTTGACAATTGTCAGTTTGGCTGTACTTCATCTCAACATATCATTTAAATAATAGAAGTTAGAGAAAGAATATCTGAGCAAACACAAGACCTTTTCTAAATCTGCCAGGTCTACTAGAATAGTAATTCACACAAAATGATGGTCTGGCGAGGATGTCTGCATGAACTTATTCATATTCATGAGCTCATTATAGTGTGTGATGACATCACAGCGTGCTCATCTATTGTACCTGCAACAGAACTCAATTCCGCATCACTGCTTTACTCTAGATCTCATAGTGTTATAAAATTTTATGAGGGTTTTTACTGAGCTCTCAGTAAATCTTTGTAGTAATACCACTTATAAAGGAAGTCTGTGAGTCTCTTCATCTCTTTCTGACCTGCAGGTTTAAGTCTCTGCTCTCTAACAGACCAGCGGCGGAGAACACATGCATCGAGATCAGTCACGTCAAGTACAACATTTTTCAGGTTGGAAACTCCTGACTCATAAATCCCACTCAAACTCATGTCGGTATTACAGTCACATTGCAATACGCTAATTCCCATTTCTGTCAGCCCTTTTCAGCTTAATGACAAAAATGTGTTGGTATAGTTATGACTGGTGCTAAGCTCATCTGTCCTCAAATGTTTCTTGGAAGTCTGAGAACATCTCATTGTTTTTTTCAGCTGGTAATGCAGTACCTCTACTGTGGCGGCACTGAGTCACTGCACATCAGGAACACTGAAATTATGGAGGTATTAAACATCCTTTATTCTCATAATTCCCAAAGTCTCTTTCATCAACACACTTGTGATGACTTTATAAATGATGACTTGAGGTAATGTTGAATGTTATGAATTAGAGGATTTTTCATGCTCGTACCAGAAAGCCCTCTCAATGCTCAAATCTTTCATTTATCTCCATATTTAGCAAATGGAAACTCTCTTGTATGTAGAAGTAATGTAAATTAATGCACATGGTTATTCATTCTAATTTAAGTTAGCTCTTGATTGTAAACCTAACAAATGTTTTGATATGTTTTGCTCATTGATGCTCACTCTGCTTCAAAGCTCCTGTCTGCAGCCAAGTTCTTCCAACTTGATGCTCTTCAAAGACACTGTGAAATAATCTGCTCCAAGAACATCACCAACGACTCCTGTGTGGACATATACAAACATGCCAGGGTACTTTGAAACATTTGTTTATCTGCAATTCATTTTGTTTGACATGTCAAACAAGTTATTACAGTTTTATGACATTGAAAATGATATGATAATATGTGTGTTTTAATGCTGTTGCCATATTAAGTCATTAATTTCATTGATGATAAAAGTAATATTTTGCTTATTACTGTATTCATATTTATGTTTGCTCATTTAAATACTATTTAAAATTTATTTATATTGAATATAATTGTGTTTTATTGTTATTTTTAGCAATTTAATTGCAATATGCAAACATTTTATCATAGACCAAATTGAGGGAAAATGGACAATTTATATTAATTCCTTCTTTCATTTAAATATTTACATTGTAGCCAATTGCCAGGTATAATCCAGGGATATTTTGTTGTTTGTTTCACATTGTTAGTACATTTCCTAGAATTATTTATTTAATCTTTGCTGTAAGTATCGAAGATTGCACACAATAAATCCTGGCTTAACATTCGTATTTGCATATCTATGAGGTTAATGACATTGATTAGACAAACACGGCACACCAACAAGAAAGCAATCTGTTTACATTTCCATCTGTGTATATTTCACCAGCTAAATCCACTCTGCTGGTTTTGGGTTGTTAGAAGTAGCTACAGAACAATAATTACAACACAATAATACTAAATGCTTTTACTTTGTACCTCTAGTTGCTGTATATCTAGCTGTGGCAATGTCATTGCAAGCTTTCAAGATTTCAAAATACGTCGCTATTCTCTCTTGAATCGAACTTTCTAACAGCAGGTAGCGCACTAGGCTAGATTTTAACAGCAGGTGGCACTCTAGGATATTTTTTTACAGAACACTAGGCTAGTTTTTAACAGTAGGTGGTGCTCTAGGCTAGTTTTTAACAGCAGGTGGCGCTCTAGGCTTGTTTTTAACAGCACATTAAGCTAATTTTTAACAGCAGGTGGCACTCTAGGCTATATTTTAACAGCAGATGGTGAAATTGGCTAGTTTTAAACACCAGGTTGCCTACTTGGCTAGTTTTTAACAGAACACTAGGCTTCTTTTTAACAGCAGGTGGCGCTTTAGGCTAGTTTTTAACAGAACACTATGTTAGTTTTTTAAAAGCAGATGGCGCTCTATGCAAAACTAGGCTAGTTTTTAACAGCAGGTGGCGCATTAGGCTAGTTTTTAATAGCAGCTAACTACAATAATGATTAGTTTATTATATTTGATATTTGTAAGGAATTAGATGAAAACTAAGCAATTAATTTATTAAAGAGAGAATAGCAATGCATTTTTAAAACACAGAATTAATTTCTTGAACGATTTTTTCGCACAGCTCTAGGTAAACCTTAGCAAAGCTTCATATTCCAGGATTAATTACAACCTAATTAAGGAACAATTACAAGCTGTTAACTCAGAATAGTGCTGAAAGCTCTTAGCAGGGTCAAGTCTCACATTGTCACTATGTTTCACACATTCTCAGTTCCTGGGAGCCCTGGAGTTGGCAGGCTTCATCGAGGGCTTTTTCCTGAAGAACATGGTGCTCCTGATTGAGCTGGAGAACTTTAAGCAGCTCCTATATGAGGTCCCTGCAGACAGCCCTGGTCCAGGCCCGTCCTATGATGTCCTCCATGACCTGGAGCAAACCCTGGCCCTGCGGATCCGCTCCATTCATCTTTCCACCTCCAAGGGCTCCATCGTCTGACACATCGTCGCCAAACTCACGCCAACCGTTCCTTACAGCGGTTTCATCGAGTGCTCCATTTTGTGTGCCAACCTACTGGAGACATTTCAAAAATCACCGCCGACGCAATCAAAGGGGGGATTGTGGGGAAAGCCGACGCATTTTACTCCACAGGCTAACATCTCCACCGTGTTGCAGAAACGTCAGCCTGCAGAACTCCATTCCAAGGGCTACGTACGTTACGTTGTGGAAACATTCTAGCAATGTTGTGACAAAGCTAATCGTGCCCAACAAACGTTAGCGCCCAGCCTCTACGGCGATGCATGCAGACGGGTCTGCTTCAATTATAGGTGGAACTGTCTGGGGAACGGTTGTCATGCTACCTACTGCGGACGGTTTTAGGTTATATTACTCTCAAATCAATGTAATATCGTTAGCCTGCCCAATTTGTGTAACATTCCCTGACACTAAACGCTAAGCAAACGATGCATGTTGAGTTTGGTAGGTGATGCTGCCATTACGTTTCCTAAGTGTTCACGTTGGACAAAAGCTCCACTAGATGAAGAGTTTTAAAACTAAGATGTTTTATATATTAATACTCACATCCAACTACTACTTTTGGTATTTGTGTCACTGAACAATAATATGCCAGCTGTTTAAATCCTAGCACTTGTGTTTTAACGCTTTGCGGTGTTAAGGAATAGGGATTTGCTACCTTCGGTCTTTTGTAGATTGATTCGGCAGACATTATAGTAGACTGAAATTAGGTTTTAGTTTATATTTAATCAACAAAAGTTTACCATGTCCACCGGTGCGTCGGTTCAAAGCAGATCATTTCATCCTAAGGCTGTAACCATGTCTAGTACATTGAGGAGAACTCATTTCTTTTTGAAATGAAACATTGGGAAAATTAGGTCAAATTTTAGTTGGGAAACTATTTTCAAATAATATTTTACAATATGCGCACATATTTGCATTCCTAGTTTGTTAAAAATGCAAAATATCTCCTGTCTTGTCACAATTAGTTAGTAATTTTCAATTCTAATCTAAATTTGAGGACAAAAACTGGATATTACTATTGTTTCTGTTGTAAAAAATGTTTTCATATATAATTAATCCAGAGAAGAATATATAGAATATATAGAAGGGAGAATATATAGGTGAATATATGTTTTTATTTTCATTTTTTAATAAATTATTGTACAGTAGGCTTGCGCAGTTTAAATATGAACAAAAATGGATCTTAACATCAAGTGTAAACATGCCCTTTCTACTTTGCGTACTGTTAAATCAACAAATCCCACCTACTTTTTATTGATTGGCCATCTCAATCATACTTACACTTTCCATTTTTGATTATTTGAGTGCACTTGTCCTCCTCAATGTCTGCATTGGTCACGGCCCTGTTTTAAAAACCCTCCAGTCGACCACTGTGCTTCATACACTCCAAACTGAGCAGTTCATCCTTGCCTTGAGGTCACACCACCTAATCTGCATGGGTCCTGTTTGGAGCTTTTTTGAAATACCAAGCTCATTTTCCTTTCAAGGATGCAGAATTACTTACTAACGCCCTTTTGTGCAGGACTCTATGGTCTTTGTTGCTTGCGAGTGTGTCGAAATTGTGTGTTATGAAAGATGTCATTGCACTGGTCGCTACCTTCATGACCCAATGTACATATTCCCGGTCCTCACCTGCTGCACTGCTTTCGTTCAATGTGAAAAATGTGAAGCCAAGCTGTTTTTAGTGTGCATGTTTTTCCCAGTGTTCGTTCGTAACCCTTCAAGATGTCGGTAAGTTTGAAACTGTACTGGATGTACGATGTTACCAGCAGATGATTATGTTGACAAGCCTGAACCCAAAGTAATAGATTTCGAAGTATGTAAAAGGTGCTGATATACTCATAGCGAAGTTGTTTTTCGTTCTTCGTAAGCAGCGGTTTACGATTAGCAAACATTCAGACGCCATCTACGCAGCTAAGACTTCATTTTTACAAACAAAATGATCAAAATAAACTAAAATTAGTGCCAAAAAAAGACTAAAAACTGTAGTTAGAGTAGTTTAAAATGTTTACAATCCAAATCTTTTCCCGAAAGCTCTCTTAGATAAGCCATTTTGAACTCCTAAAACCTAATTTCGGATTGATTTTAAATGGAAAAATTAGCTTTGAGCAAATCGGCCATCAAGGCATTTCATCCAAAGACTATCTAGATATCAAAATCCCATCCTAATAGTTAGTTATTTGATAATATCCAATCGGTTATCTTACCATAATGTGCTGGTAGTGCTGTCTAAAAGTCCTGTTCTGTTGTATGATTTGTATTTCATGTGCGATTCCGTTTATGAACATCCTGTTAATGGGGAAAGTTGCTAAATTTTAAAACGGAAATACATCCTTTATTGATATGTAGCTTATACTATGGAATAATATCACGATGCAAATAATTTAAAACTGTGAAGATGCATTTATTTTAAAAGGAATTTAGCATAGTTACTTTATTTTCTTACAAAGTACATTTATTGTGCGATCCCTGTCTGCTATTTTGTGACAAGTCGTCATGATGTATCGCTTTGAGAAGCCGACACAAAAATACAGACGGAGATAAATCGTGTCATTTTAAAAGATTAGACCCGCGCTTATGTCTTCAATACCTGCCGGTTGTGTTCGCGGTTTAAATAATGAAATAAAATTTGGATTTGTTAAAGCAATACTTGCCACAAATGTGTCCATGCAAGGTTAGTGCTCTCGTCTGAGCTGTTACTTGTGCGTAGCATGGATGCTTCTCCATGTAGCCAAATGTAAAGCAGAAGCCAATCTCATGAAGTGTTTGTAAACGCTGTACACACACACACACACACACACAAAGAAACTTGCTCAGTGTTTCCTAGCTTCGGCTTTTCTCTGCTATACTGCTGTTAACTCTTTAGTCTCCACTAATGCACACCTTTTGACATGAAAAACCTGCATGCTTTGGCTGGATCAGAGTCTAACGGAAATTGTTTGCTATTATTATTTCACTCGGTTGAGACATTGTACATTGTACAAAAGATATATAGAGAAATATCTATAGAACTTGGTGTAAATATAAGGGATGTGGTTGAGTTTAACGATTGAAAAAAATCAAGAATGTCACACTTGTGCTACAGTACAGTTGTTCGATGACATGCATTTGTGGACAGTCAATAGAAATGACCACGATTGACCACTGTGTTGGGTCGTCATTAAATTTCTGTGATAAACCGTTGAGTCTTAATTGATTGGTACATCTGAAGTGTTCAGCAGAGCTTTTCTGTCATTTCAGGGAGTGTGTGGAGTGTTTTGCCAGCTTATGTAAGGGTTTCACAGTTATGCTCCAAAGTGAACAGTTCTTAAAGGAATAGTTGAAAAATCGCAACCTATGCTCATTTTGAAAACGTAGCCCTATGCACATTTCTTGAGATCACGAATTATGTAGCCAGAAGTACGTATGGCTGCATTTTGTCTTTAAAAGAACACTACGGGGCGGTATGACGCAGTTCTTTTTTGCGCTGCCAGCTAACCACTTACTTCCATATAGACAGCTTTCCCGCTGTTACCAGTTTGTCCAGTGGCTTGCAGCATACATTGGCGGACTTGAGATGCAGATAGGAGTTGACCACAACGATGGGGTTCAAGTCTGGTGAAGAACGGTTCCAGAAAGCAGGTCAGACAAAAACAAAAGCCAAAAAATTAAATAAACAAGTAAATAACAGGGTGAGAATGTGGTAAAATCTGAAAACGTGGTAAATTTAGGCAAGGTTCTTTTCTTTTTCCGGATTGCCTTTAAAACACTATCGGTTGGGTTTAGGGAAGGGTGTTGTTGGGAGGATCGGTCGGTTGGTCAGTTGGTCAGTCAACAGCACATCGGTGGATTCTCGCAAATGGCACTCGCGAGAGAAATCTCAGTACCTCAAATTTGAAATACTCTGTTGTATTTGGGAAAACAAAACCTGACAAAAAACATAGCTCCTGGGATGTATTTAGAATGTATTTAGGGGTACATTTTCAGAATGAGCCTGGGTTGAAAAATTACCCTATAATTTACTCACCCTCAAGCCATCCTCTGTGTATATGACTTTCTTTTTTCAGACTAACAGACTAATAGTTTAACATGGTATCCCGACTTTTTCATTCTGTATAATAGTGTTTGATAGTGGCCTTTATTTTGAAGCTTTCAAAAGCACATAAATCCATCAAACTAAACCACACTATGCTAAGAGTTAATGCATGTCTTTAGCAGATTAATGTGTTTATTTATATCAAGTTTTACGTTTTGATCGATGTGTTTTTGTAACAAAAATATTTTACATTCTGAACTCAAATTACTAACTTCGAGTGCATTTATCAGCAGCCAGAAGTCATCTATTTGAGTTTGTAATTTAAACATAAGAAATAATTTTGTAGCAAAAATGCATTGATCAGCTTTGTAAGACACGTGTAAACCTCCTGGTGGCGTATGTGTTAGTTTTATGATGTATTTATGCACTTTTTAAAGATTCAAAAAAGCTACCCAACACTATTATACTGCATGAACAACCAAGATAATATTTATAAGTACACTGACTGTTTATATGACAGAAGAAAGTGGATGGGATAATTTTCATTAGGGTCAACTTAAAGAACTTTTTTTTTTCTCCATAACATGATGAACATTTCCACGGTGTGAAATTTTTAATCAGTGCAAGCTTCACCTGATATTTATTTGTATGGATTGAGCTCTATGATCTCTTAAACTGTTCCTGGACCTGCAGTAGCACACACTGTGGATCTCATCTGAGCCTCGTACAAGTCCAGCTATTTAAGAAGTTTCATCTGGATCTGAATGAACTGGATTTGAATGTTGTGTTTGGGTGTCCCAGGATCAGGTAATCTATTTCTCTTTTGTCCCATTTTCCTAGTTTTGATTTTGAACAACTTCTGATTGGTTCATCTCTGATGAGTTTCACTGTATATAAAGTGATTAATTACAATCAACATTAAATGTATAATGTTTTTTGTTTAGTAAGCATATATGGCTGCTTTCCTCTCATAATATATGGCTGTCTGGCAGTCAAAAGGATAAAAGGGCCCAAAGAGTCAGAACTATAACAAGAAATATGAGTTGCAGTTTGCTTGTAGGCCTGCAAAGCCAAGCATAGCTCTAGATAATAAAAAATAAAACTGCATGCAAATTACTTAAAGAACACAACAGTAACATTTAATTATGGTTCACTAACTGAATGTAACATTCACTTTTCATAAAATATTTGCAGTTTTATGCACGTTTGGGCTAAGAACGTGCATTTATAGATGTGACCAGCAGACGTCAACAGTCTAGACTCTAGATAGAACCATTCCAAATAGTGAATCATTTTAAGCTGTAATCGATTCAATTGATTCAAAGTTTTGAAAGATTCATTTCTCACGGTACTAAGTGGAAATTATTTGTAATAGTATTAATTTTACCTTGAAATACTTACAAACACACTTGAACAAATTCTGTGCATGGTTTACATTCCCTGCTTTATAAATTAGTTTGCTTTATGTTGGAGTTGGGTGATCAGCCCAGTAAGACCGAGAACTGCTACTCTAAATATATATATATATATATATATATATATATATATATATATATATATATATATATATATATATATATATATATATATAATTATTATTATTATTTAAAAGAAAATTATAAAAAAAATATCCAAACCACATACAGGCTGGTTTATGTAACAGAGATCGCCTCCTAGCGCCGAAATAGTGAAACGTCAAAATGATTCAAAACAGTTATGTCGTATCGAGTCCTCGTTACTGAAGATTCGACTCGCAAAGGTTTCAAAGCTCAACGTAATGACGTCACTAGTATTTCGCCCTCTCCAGGAAGAGCTTGTCACTTTGACAAGGCTGCTAACTTTCTAGTAAAGCTATTATTAGCCTGTAAGTGTTATTATCATTCAGTGATACTTGACAGAGTACCGTAAACACCACAGGAGAAAATGTCTTTCATCTTTAACGTGAGTAAATTACAATAAATTAAACAAAAAAACTTGCAGAACAGTCGTCGTGTTTTATGCAAAACGCAACTGTATTTTCGACTGCAATGTCATATTTGCTAGTTTAAAATTATATTTCATCGCATTAAATGATGCTAACTGCATTGGTAGTTTGTTGACAGTCTGTTTTGCAAACAATCGTCAGTTTGCTTCAGCCTGTGCAGAACACACCCTCAATAATTGATCCATGGGTGTTTTCGGCTTATTACTGCATGACTAGTGAATGTTTTAATGTCCTCTTTTCTGTGTGTTGTTGTAGCTCATCACTGGTAGCTGTCAATTCGTGCTTGATTTTCTCCGAAGACTCTTTGGTTTTAAGTCGAGACCAGCCATCACCCTTGAAGATCCCGATGTAAAATACCCATTGCGTCTTGTTGACAAAGAGGTGTGGTTGCTTCAAAACAATATGTGCATAATATAACATTTCTTAAGTATCAGATGCTTTACATCCCTCTTTCTCTCTTAAGATTATAAGCCATGACACAAGAAGATTTCGATTTGCTTTAAAATCACCCGATCATGTTCTTGGACTTCCTATTGGTGAGTGTAATGTGTATATATATGCAAATACACCCTGCAAATATGTATATTATTATTGTACACATACCTTTAATATGTTTATATTTACATTTAAAGGTCAACACATCTACTTGTCTGCCAAAATTGATGGCAACCTTGTGGTGAGGCCTTACACGCCGGTGTCTAGTGATGATGATAAGGGCTTCGTGGATCTAGTTGTCAAGGTATAACATTCTTGTGTGTATATAATTAATTAATATCATTGTAAAATAAAAAGTTTTTTTGGAGGTTTAAATGTTTTGTTGCCTTATTTATTTCAGATATACTACAAAAATATCCATCCAAAGTTTCCAGACGGAGGCAAGATGTCCCAATACTTGGAGAGCCTTCGCATTGGTGACACAATTGATTTCAGGGGACCAAGTGGACTGCTGGTTTACAAAGGCAAAGGTTTGTAGTCAGCTGAAAAAATGTAGACAGTATTGAAATCCACTCAGTCTGAGAAAGCTAAGAAAACATCTGCTTAAATTGATGTAAAACCTGAAAAAATGACTGCATATGAATAGACTTAATATAACACTTTATTTTAATGGTCTATTTGAGTATTAGTAAACTAAATATCTTAATGTTGATACTTCTCCTTTAACAGACTTTTAACTGACTATAGGAAACTTTGCAAGTACAAGTCAACTTACGCTAACCCAAACCCCAACCTAACAGTCTACTTATACTCTAATGATAATTAGTTGGCATGTAGATGCAATGTAACTTTAACAAACGGACCATCAAAAGAAAGTGACCCTAAACAATGACTTAAATGGATTGTAACAATATAAAACATTTTTTTACTGTATTGATATTTCTACAGGATCGTTTGCAATCAGGCCAGATAAGAAATCAGACGCTGTGATAAAAACTGCTAAACATGTTGGCATGATTGCTGGGGGAACAGGTGAGCACATGGTTCCTACATTTGAGTTTAAGTTTGGAATGCAATAAACATTTAACTGCAGCACGGCTGTCCAATCTAATTCACCATAGTGGAATAAGGAAAACCTCTATAGTGGTGATCAGAATTGACAAAATATAACACTGGTGTTATTATTAGTCACAATTGCAAAAAGGAAAAGTATACTGATCAGGTGAGAAAGGTGTCAAATTTGCATTTACTTCCTCAGCCATTGTTTGAAAAACTGGTTAGCACCACTTTGAGAATTTTTCTGAAGGTAAAAACATTAAATGAACATGTATTACTACAGTGTAATACATGTGTTGATTATTTATTTGGGTAATAAAATACAACCACTTTGAATTGCAATATAATTAACTGTGGAAACCATAGCAGTGCAAACCATGATAAACATTCATTCATTTTCTTTTCGACTTAGTTCCTTTATTAATCTGGGGTCACCACAGCGGAATTAACCGCCATCTTATCCAGCATATGTTTTACACAGCGGATGCCCTTCCAGCTGCAACCTATTACTGGGAAACATCCATACACACTCATTCCCACAAATACACTACGGACAATTATATCTTACCCCATTCACCTACACCACATGTCTTTGGACTTGTGGGGGGAACCGGAGCAACCGGAGGAAACCCACATGAACACAGGGAGAACATGCAAACACACAGAAACACCAACTAACCCAGCCAACTTTGTTGCTGTGAGGTGATCATGCTATCCACTGCGCCACCGTGCAGTCAACATTGATAAGCAGTAAAATATATATATAAATCACAATTCTGATTGGACGAATGTGCAATTCGCTAGGAGCTCTGGTCATTTAATTTATGCTGCAATTAATTTTAAAATATTTAGTTTGAATTATTTTAAAGACCCGTGATTTAAGCCCTTCACTTGTTTCACTACTGGATAAATTTGAGTTTTTGAATGAATTTCAGAACCTCTTTTTGCACACTACTGGTGTGTCTATATAACTGAGACTGCATTCATTACCACTGCTACTTTTAAAGTGTAATTTACTCTATTTAGACTTTGTTTTAAACAATAAATAATGATACTGCTAGACTGAAAAGACTAAAGCTATTTGCTCATACCTCGTCTTTATATATAAATATGTTTTAGGCATTACTCCCATGCTCCAGATCATCCAAGCAGTCATGAAAGATCCAAAGGATGACACAGTGTGTTACTTACTCTTTGCAAACCAGGTGAGTCCATTTTTGTTTCCGTCTTTAAATGCATTTCTGCTTTAAAGGTGCAGTAGGTGATCTGCCAAAATGATCTGCATTTTATCTTTAAAACACTGTCCCTCTCCTGCCGTCCAAAGCCACGCCTCCTGTAATCACAAATGCGCACCATAAAGATGACAGTAGACAACCCACTAGATCATGACATTCGGCAGTTAGAAAACTTTAATATACTTTACAACATTACAACTCTAAACTAAAAACTGTATTATATCTAGCAGACAAAAACTGTATCATATCTCCCACGTTTTCAGTTGTGTAGCAAGCAAAACTTGTCATAATGTGCGATATTTCATGCATGCAAGGATTGCTGGGCTCTCTCTTTCACGTGCTTTGTCCTAAAGCGACTACTGTATGCTTAGTGGTTGCCCGGCGTGGTGCAGGATTTACACTTATTACCAAGCCATACTTACATGCTATTTCAGACTGAATATTCAGAGTAGCATGGTAAACAATATAGGAGCAGGTTGTCATTGTTCAAAATTAAACCAATGTGAATATAAACCAACTTGACCTCAGTAAAGCAGGCTAGGTGGAATAGTGGCATTTAGAATTATGGGAATTATCGGCCGACAAACTTAATAGGATGAGCATTTTTTTTAGTTATTGCCTCACCCAGAATAGAAAATACATATAAATAGATTTAAATCATTAACTTTAATCAGTACTATTGGAATGTGAAGAGACTTTCAACCAGCACAACAAAAATGTTTCTGTAGACAATCACCTACTGCACCTTTAAAAACAAAAATCAACACCTAATACATTACCATTACCAAATATGTTCTGTTCAAACTGAGTGTAGTTCCTATGCACAGTGTTTAAGTATCTAAAACTAACAATTACACCCACTCACTGCTCTTTTTGTATCTTTAAACAGACAGAAAAAGACATTCTCCTACGCCCTGAGTTGGAGGAGATCATGGCCAATCACCCGACACGGTTTAAGCTGTGGTACACCGTCGACAGAGCACCAGACGGTAACATCATGACTTATGCTGCCTTCATGTGCTGTCAGAATTCTCGAATATGAGCTTCCTAATCAGAAATTGCATATTTATGACTAGGAAACTCTCTAGATATCAGAGTTTCTCAATATAGCAGGACATAAACATTAAATATGGAAGAGATCAGTTGCTGTACTTGTATTTTAATTAGTTTTTTACAATAATAGCTATGTTACCTTATCTTGTCATTTTAAGTTTTGTGGTTTTGGGTATTTGATACATATGCATGATACATTAAAATATCTTAAACCTCAAAAGCTAGATTTTAGGCTTTAAAAAGTGTTGAATCGACAGAAATATTGTGTTGTAGGTGTTAAATCGATTTCCTTCGTTCATAGCCATTATGGCCATTAACACCCATACAATCACCAAAAATTCCAATAAAACGTTTAACTTTTTATTTAAATATAGCATTTAATTGCTTTCCTCACAGTAACATGTGTTTTAAAAGTTCTCCATTTATTTACTGCTGAGGATACTGACCTTACTTGACCTATATTTTGTATTATTAAATTATTATAATCGTATTATTAATTTATAATAATGTTTTAATAGGGCAAGTGAAAATCTTTTCCAACTGGGATATTCAGAGAAAAATCCTTAATATTTAGCCCTGCATAAATCAAAAATTTAATTTATAATTGTCTTAAAAATGTCTTAAAGACTTGAATTTCACTCTGTAAAACCAGCATGAAACCCTGTATTATTTTAGTCGTTTTTTAGACATTCTACATTTCTTTACAATAAAAATGCCAATGTCACAATTGGTGTTTTTTTTAAGCTTAAATTATTTTTCAAACCATCATTTTATTACACTGCCAACATTCTGAGAACTTAATAAATGAGGGTTTGTTGAAATATAGTTTTGAAAATTCAGTGGTTCGCCAGTAGAGGGTGACAAACACTTCAACCAGTGTCTATTGGTGCATTTTCAACATTTTGACGCGTTTTATTGCTAATTATCTCATTAAAATTACATTTTTAAAAACAGCATCGTGACAGCACTGTGCAGCAGTAACATGACTAAAAACAAATTCTTTTCATTTAATAGATGAGTAGATTCAAGCGCTTGTATTTGTTCACAGCAAACCAACTTTCTGTTTGTTTCAAGCCGTTATTGTTGATGAACACGGAACTAATCTAATTCTCGTGATAGGTTGGGAGTACAGTCAAGGCTTCATCAATGAAGACATGGTGAGAAAGCACCTTCCTTCACCCGGAAACGAAACACTCGTCTTGATGTGTGGACCTCCTCCCATGATTCAGTTCGCCTGCAACCCAAGTCTGGACAAGGTGGGCCATTCCAATGACAGGCGCTTCATGTTCTAGATGGTTCTACAGGGGAATCATCTGAAACCGAACAGATTAAGCTTTAACATATTGCAAATAAATCCAGCCAAGCTACTACCTGGCTATTTATATAGTCCAAAAGAATTGGAAGGGTGCAAAATATATGAGCTGTTTACCTGAGAAGCCTCCGCATGCAGAAATCTGTTATTGCCAATCATTATGTGTTTTATGCCTTAAAAGCAAACAAAAACAGTTGCTTTCATTATGTGAGCAGGTGATGTTAGAATGAAATCACTCAATATGATTCACTTTGCTTTATTTATGCATCTTAAAAAACACCTATATTTGTGGATCATTATTATTATTTTAGTTTGCGGTGTTGCACATTTTTCCATCAACAGCAACAAGCTGTTTGTTAAACAGACAAGGTTTCTGTTCATTAGTTTTACACTATGCACATTACTGTAATCTTGTGACAGTGGAGACTGGTTTTCTTCCGTTTAACATGTGTATTTGTCTTTATTCTGGTCCATCACAATAGTTTGTCTCCCTTATCTCAGTCAGTTTATCAGTCCGTTAGGGGAAAAATGCAATTGGGAGTTTGAGATGAGAGAAAGAAACTAACAAAACACCAACAACCAGATGGTTATCTTTGTTAGGCTGAAGTGAACAAATCAAGATGTCATCTAACAATATTCAGTCTGTCCTTTGCATTAAGTGCCTTTCTGTCAACACAGTTGCATTAAGTTTGATTCACTTCTAGTCTATCATTCCATACAGGTCATGCTCATATTTTTATTCCACTGCCTGTTTGCAGTTCATGTTACTTGTGTGCATGGACAATAAATAAAAATATTTTGCTATAATATTACATTAATCAATAAAATATAAACTTGAGTTTGCATTTCTTCTTGTTTAATGTGTTATTTTCAATTCAAGATGCAGAACTGCTCATCAGCCCCTAAAAATGAGCTATATTTGTGTTGGCTGTTTGATATAAACTTGCTTAATTTCTGACAGAATCTGCGTTTTTAAAACAGACCATATGTATATACAGATATGCTATTCATCCACTTCAGACATGTCTACACGTTGACCATCCTTGGAAGTGTGTTAATGGTAAAATTTAATGTGTTTTCCAAGATGCCACAGCACTGCAGAGCCTTGTGTTGCTGAGATTTTCCAAGAAATAGGACAGCTTTTGATTTGTGGGTGTTTTATACATGTGTTTCATTTCAAAATGACATGTTTTAATACTATGCTAACACTTTAAAGTCATGTAAGCTCACATCTCCCAACAACAAATGCTATTAGTTCTTTAAAACTGTGTTGTAAGTTGCATGCAGGAGAAATTATTTACATCCAAAAATGTGTAGTTGTAATTTATTTACATTTATGCAATTATTATAGATGTCAGTCCATATTAATATCAGTGCATGATTATCATCGGGGTCCTGTTTCATAAAAGTGAATTACAATTATTAACGATTAAATATTCTTAGCAACTCTATATCGTATTGCAGATATAATTTGTCGACACGAGGACACTTATTCGGCCTTGAGCATATGGTAATTATATTTATCATTATAAACACTATTGAATGCATTTCATAAAAGTTTATTTCAGTCCTTAGTTTAGTTTATAAGATAGATGTCAGCCATTTTTTTTTAATTACAGACTACATTAAAGATTTATAGAAATCTCTGTTAATACTGCTTGAAACTTCAAACTCAACATGATGAAAACTGTAAACAACATATGCACATTTTAAAAAACTAAACATATACACAATGTAATAAACAATTACCCAATACAATAAGAAACAAATTGGCTCAAATGTACAAACATGCACCCAAACACAGACATACAACATCGTCTCCATTTTTGGTCTTTGAGCACTTGCCTTTGAATTAAACTTTTATTTTTACCCCTTCAGTTAAAGTTAGTCAAGCTAATCTTATTCATTTACCAAAATTAGTAAATTCTCGATGTTTTACTGGCAGATTACCTTACAAAATGATGGGATTGCAGACTCACACACGCGACTAAACTCGTCCACAAGAGGGCGCTAAATTGCATATTTTTAAAAATAATAGTTTTGTTTATTCATTTATTTTTATGTTAACACATACAAATTTGTAGTCTTCTTGCGTTTTGAAAGTGATTTAGAAACTAAAGCAACTTTAAAATTGAAAACATAAAACAGACTCGTGCTGTTTTTCCTCCGCTCCACTAGGCGGTAGACGCGCGTTCACGGTCACTCAGACGGACAACCTGCAGCTCCTGAACAACAGAAGAGGAATACAGACGACGCCCACTTCATATCATGTGAGTCACCGCATGAAAACAAACAGTAAACTGCTTTATTTACACACACCATATTTAATAAACACGCGTATTTGTTTTGATATAATATAGTCGCTAAATAAGGTAATAAAATATGGCGACATTGTCGTTAAGGTGAGTTTCTGAAAATGTTTACAAGAGGCTCTGCGTAAGCATGGCAACACCTGCCCGTCAAGCTAATTTGCACTGTATAACAAACTGCACTAACTCAACACTGTAGCAATGGCATAATAACTGTGTCCAAAACATTAATGAAATGATAAACATGCTGTTTTTAAGTGACTTTCATAAAGTCACTGAAATGATTAAGATATTTGGCAAATAGTTTTTGTACAGTCTACCATATAAATCACTCAAATAACATTTGAAAACTCTTTGTGGTGTAAATAAACATTTACTCGCGATTAAAAACTGATATTATGAGTGTATATGTGCTGTCAAACTATTTGATTGACTGTCGAAGTTGACCAATACGGGTGGACATCGTATCATGCACGTGAAGGGCGGGGCTTAGTGAAACTATAGAACCAATAGCAACACGGAGAAAAGAAACAAGGGCGTGTTTATCAAGTCTCAGTCTGATTGGATGCCTGTGATGAGAAGTGATTTCCAAAAAATATATAATTAATAGTAATTCTTCAACTACAGGCACTTTTATGTCCTTTGATTATCTATCCAAAAATATGTATAATTTTGTTCAAATTCCTTTTTCTTTGTCAAACTAACAATAAAACCTACTTTAAAAAATTACTTGCTTTCTATAATATATATTTTTCATATTATTCAACCTCCTTTTATTTTTCAAAATCACCGTTTTCACCTTGTCGCACACCCAGAGTTTAAAACTTCAACAATGAAAATAACATTTTTAAATATTATTTATTTTGGTATCTATTAATGTATCTTAATTAAGCACTAGTAAAATAATTTAAATATTTTATAGTTATTGATGTGAGACTATTATCAATATTATTTTTTATACAAATTAGCACAGTATCAGTGTCATTTCCACCACAGCACTGTAATGTCACTTTAAAAAGTTTGTGAAAGATTATTTAGGTGCTTTCTATGAAAATGAATAGTGTCATCTGATAACATGTAGGAAATTAAATTTTTTATCAACAACACTTTAAGAAAGATCAAGGTAAATATTGCTTGATAAGGAAATACATTTATTCTACGTCATTTCTAAACATGCTGTGCCCTCAAAGAGGTTTTTAAAAATCAAACAAAATGAAGGTAAATAAGTGTATTCTGTATACATGAAAGGATAGTATCAATTCAAATCTAATTGGTGAAACTATATTTAATTTTTCCACAATAAACTGTCATTTCCATCACCACACACATCTTTATAAATATTTAAAAAGTTCTCATCACACATTAAAAGTGTATTCACAATGTATAAGTTCATGCTCTATTTAATATACAAATTCAGTTTATTTATTTTCTGATAAGCTCTTAACCAAATTAATATTACATTTTAGAGTGTGACAGGTACAATTAAGCATACAACTAATTTATTTCATTGACAAATGTATAATTATTATATATATTGAGGACAAATTGGTTAAACTAGATAAAAAATGATCATAGACAATGTTTGACTGCCATAATTTATTTCATTTTGAAATAAGCTGTATATTAAGATGTGCTGGAATTGACATTTGTTCATTTCACGATGGAAAAAATGTTTCTCTTCTTATCTAAGTTTGTCCTCTTACAGATCTTAAAACTAGACGAATTGTTTAAACGTATGAGGCTTTGCTACGTTAATTTTAAACAAGATTTTTTTATTCAACTTCACATGGCTAAAAGTGCTTGTAGTTGAAGAATCGTCCATATATATCTTTTTTTTATTAATCTGAGAAGTGCGTATGTATTAATAAATTAAGCGATATACTATTACTAGTCTTAAAAAGTTAACATTATGGGTATTGTTATGATGCTGGTCCAGTTTCTAAAAATACAACATACAAAAATACAACAAAAAAGACTTAAGTTAAAAAGATTTATATGTAATTTATATATTTTTTTTCTCTCACATACAAACATGAATTTGTAAAAATGTCTGAAATTCTTAAAGCAAGGAATTTAAGTTTCTATATATTTGTTAAATTTAATGGCGTATATCAGCGAATGATGAACTTCCGGTGAAAAGATTGTGGCAATTTTATTTTTATAAGGTTCCTTTTATCACATTGATGTTGTAACGTAATTAAAATACAACCAGTTAAATAGATTTAAGCATCCATTTGGTTGTTAAGATGTAAAAAGAGACAAAAGACTGCCATTAGCTGCAGGTCAGCGCAGAAATTCCATTGACAACACTGGGGTAAGATGAATTTCCATATTTTAAAGAGATGGTATGGAAAAATAAAATTCAATGCAGTGCTTCTTGTTTGGTCTGATACCCACTTTATATTGTATCTTAGCCGGGCTGTCAAGATTGCTGTTTTTTTTAAAGGAATTAGATCTTAAACATGCTGATTTTGTATGGGATGACAATTCACAGAAAGCCCTGCGGCTGGCTGAAATTAATAGTCTGTGTGCATACTGCATATACCTCATTTCTTTCCTTGTTTCAAGAATTTCAACCACTTTCTTTCACTTTATACACCACTAAAAATGCCTAAATGTTCTTTTAGTTTCTTTTGGTTCAAAGAACTGTTCAAGTTATGGTGTATATAAATATCTTTCTGTTTGAGCCTCGTGTCTGTAAGCTAAACTAAATATATTTAATCAATTATTTTAACAATGCAGCAGTGTTTATGAAATATTCCCTCCACACCTGCTCTGCTCAACATTCATTTGCAGCCTCTAGGTTTTTGTTGTGTAGCATTTGCTTATAATGTGTGTTTGTTTGTTTTGTAGATTTGTTAATCTCTGATTCAGCGTTATATCAGAGTCTTCGCCCTCAACTTCCTGGCCTTCTGCTTTTTTATGCAGACTGGTAAGTTAATCATTTACTACAAGTTTTTTTTACACCTGTGTCTAGAAAATACACATTAACATTCAAGCAAAGAAACATTAAGATTTTTTTTTTAAAGAAGTCTCGTCTGCTTACAACGGCTGCATGTATTTGATCACAAATATTATGAATGTATTGAATATTGTTTCATTTTAAAATAATAGTTTCTTTCTTAAATAATGTAAACTGTTGTATGTTAATTCTTTTTTAAATGTATTTCAAAAGTGCATTTAGCTTAATGTTTATGTTTTATCAATGTTGTATGCTATTTCTGCTTCGGGTTTTTGTAGAAACTGTGATACCTTTGACTTTTCCAGATCATTTGATGAAAATAAAGTTCATCCATTTATTAATTTTCCTTCGACTTAGTCCCTGATCATCAGGGGTCACCACAGCGGAATGAACCACCAAAAAATGTATGCCAATAGCAACAATTTATGCCAGTAGCAATTTGGTCAATTTAACGTATTTGTATTTGACATATTTATGTTTTATTGTAGTTTTGAACGGGTACGTATCACAGTTTCCACATATATAAGCATCATATTCAGATGGTGGGCTGCACCAACATGAATTAAGCTCGAAT